TTCCTGCTGCTAGCAGTGGAAAGCAAAGGAATTAGCAACTTCAATTCATTACAACCTCTATTTCCAAGACAAACAAGTTCTACGTAATTATATTTACCTCATTGTCCTGCTTTTCATCCCCTGACATGTCATCATCTACATCACTGCCTGTGCCTTCAATTGCAAGAATCCCATTCCTGATGGCTGGAATCATGTACAGCTGCTGAATGACAGAATTCATGTAACAGGTGGCACCAGCATTTTTTAGTCCTACAAACCCCTTCGGTGGTCGAGGCCCAACGGGTGGTAGATATTCCCATTCTGTAAGTGCTTCACAAGCTAAAAGAAAATAGCAGAATGGGATTAGGAAACTATTTTGTTATAAAAGAAATAGACTATCAATGCAGTACAAAGGGCAGTTGCAAAAAAATAGTATTAGTCTGTATCACACTGCAGTTTAATAAAACAAATGTTCCACCAGAAAACATAATGGCTAAAATTAACAACTTCTCTGAAGGATAGCTCTATCTGTCATCTTAACGTAACATCATTTTCTTCTACTGCATAACTAAAAAGGCGGCCAGACAAAAATTCAGTTCCTTTACGTATGAAACAGAAATCTTCCCTCAATATCAGCAAGTTTTTTAGCTGAAGAACTCCACTGAATGAATCTAGAATATATAACCAATTTATAACCCCTTCACAAACTTATAATCCTTTTACAACTACAATATTTCACTTATGCCTCACTTTTCCTTGCCAGGATGGGAAATAGTTTTAGATAATGTTATGACTTTTGGTAAGACTTTTTCCTCCCAAGTGTTCTCCCTCAGACCCCTCACATCTCTTCAGAGTACATTTACAATCATAGGTTTCCTACGCTAACCTGCTGTTCTGTGGTTTTAACACAAAAATCTCTGATGTGAAAGAAAGTAAGAGAGCATGCATGTTTACAAGCAAGCTGCACTTGGTGCATGAACACAGAGCATGCACAGTTTCATCCATGTGTTCTCTCTTCTGTCTGACATATCATGGAGATCCGGTGTTCTCTTGTGCTTACTAGCTACTTTGGAGGAAAGAGACACTGTAAAATCCTTCTAATCACGAGGTGCTAAGAAACACACTATTTCCCAGTAGGAAAGGGTGAAGAAAAAAAGGATGAGGCAGGGGGGAAAACCATAAAGCTGCCCTTATCATTTGTTCATTTGAGATGGAACCAAACAGGAAGAGACTGAAAAGTCTCAAATGACTCACCAATATCACCACCTGAGCAAGCAGCCTGTGACAGGCAGGGGACAATTCCCGCTATGGGCTACTATTTTTACTTGCTTACAGCTTTGCTACACTTCACAAGTTTAAACACTTGTTAAATCACAGAATGGTTCAGGTTGGAAGGGACCTTTAAAGACTGTCTAGTTCCAACCCCCCTGCCATGGGCAGGGACACCTCCAACTAGACCAGGTTGCTCAGAGCCCCATCCAGCCGGGCCTGGAACACCTCCAGGGAGGGGGCTTCCACAACTTCCCTAGACAATCTGCTCCAGTGTCTCGCCACCCTTATCATGAGGAATTCCTTTCTGATGTCCAATCTAAACCCACTCTCAGTTTAACATAACTGTCCCTTGTCCTGTCACTACACGCCCTGGTAAGAAGTCTCTCCATCTTTCTTCTCAGTCCCCTCTAAGTATTGAAAGGTGTCAGCAACGACTCCCCAGAGACACTTTCTCCAGGCTGAACAACCCAAATTCTCCTAGACTTCCTTCCCATATAAGCCTGGGTTTGCTTGGTTTGGTGTTGTCTTTTTCTTTCCCTGTTAGTATTACAGCTATCCCACTTAAGGCTGCAGAAAATCTGCTCCTGTTTGTTCATCTTTAAGAAAGTCTTACATATTTTTTGTTGCTAAAAAACCCACAAACTGTATTAAGTATGAGCCTTCTGCCATCTTTGTGAAAATTAGCCCATTTCATTTGACTACTGGCTTTTGAAACACTAACATTTGCATACATGTCCATACTGCAATTGCTACAATCTTTCTCCAGTGAGAAGGAGAAAGGTCTTTTTAAGTGCAGAGCTGTGCTGAGACAAGGCCAAAATTGAGAGAACGAACATTTGTGAAAGGACTATGACAAGCAGAGAACGAGTACAGAACCAAAAAAAAAGAAACAGGATAGTGGACCTGTGTCTGTGTGTGGACAATGATGACAAATTAGGTGAGCAACCAAGAGACTGGCACTAGAACTAAGCCAAAGATACCTGATGAGGTTCTGGGATTGGTTAGGCAGAGTCTGAAGAGATGAGACAAAAGTAGAAGATACAGACAGAATGAGGTTCCTGGGAGCTGGTATGGACAAAGGGAAGTAGCCAGAGATCAGGGTAGCAAGGGTCAAACTGTGTAAGTGACTGGGGCTGGAACTTGGATGCAATCATGTAATGCAAGTTGGTACATTTACTGCATAAAGAAGAGATAAAGGCTAGCTACACTGAGGAACTTTCCTAGATTTTCACAGCCTGATATTGCAACAATAAAAGCAGTCACAAGCAGCCACAAACAAACCACAACTACACAACTCAGCATCTAGCTCAGCTGACAATATAAACAAAAACTATGCATAATACATTAAAAAGTAGAAAATAGATAATTTAAAATATTACATACTAGTGATTGCTGTACCTATGTAATACATTTCAGTCAAGGTGTCTACTATCTGTTTGAGATTTCGCACACATCCAACTGCTAGTGCCACTAGTAGCTCAAAGCCAGCATTAATAGTAGCTGGTGAACTACAGACTGGTATGGCCTGCTCAGCAGGCAATTCTCCATTTCTCATGTATTGTAGATAAACATTGGATGCTGGAAAGATGAAATCATCTATCAACTCCTGAAAAAGAAAAAAAAATAAAAATCATCGTTACAGCAGAAATGTACACTATTTTACAACAGAATAAGAATTATTAAATTAATCCATGTCTGAGAACCAGAGGAATACCTGAAAACTCCAAGAGCTAAAATTAAAACCAACACCATAACGAGCTTTTAAATTTAGAACTGGAAAACTCCATTCTGAAGTGGTTCCCTACAAACTTATCCCATACTACAAGTTAAAAATAAATCTGTATTATTGATCGGTAAAAATTTTCTTTCGCCAAACCAGTATTATCTACAAAACTCTTCATTATCAGTCCTGAAAACAACACTCCTGCTGTATAATACCAGAGGTACAAAAAAAGCGCATCTGGCTAAGCAGATGCTCAGTTGCCATGCATTTGTTCAAATCTGCCACAAACATTAACAGTGCTAATTAAGAATGTGGAGAAAAGACAATACAGGGGTAATGAAAGAAAGCAGTCCTGTACTGGACTATCCTGTAACGAGCTCACTATCCTTATGTGATGTTTGCTGAGCCCTGGAATAACAGCTCACGGGGTCACAGCAACTCCATGTGCAATGATTCCAAAGAATGAGAATGTTAAGTACTCTTATGAAAGAAACACAGTTTTTTAAATATTTGAAAAAAAAAACCATTAAATTCCAATTAGAAGCCCTTATCAAGCAGTTAAATTGGGACCTTTTATGGTTGCAGACCACAGGATTTGAAGCTTCTTTTCTACCTATTTATAGTAAAAAAAAAAATTAAAAATAAATTAAAAACAATCAGAAAACTCCACAGATCTAAAAATTTGAACTTACTTTAATGAGATTAGCACCTCCTTTTTCACAACCAATGTGGTATTTCTTCTCTGGTGTCTGGAATGCTAACAACTCTTTTGTTACTCCAAGGTGACCCTCTAAGATAGTTTCTTCAACACCTGTTTCCCCTGTTCTTTTTACTTCATCCTGCCATTTAAAAGAAAGTTTGGGTACTCTAAAGAACATTCATTTACCAAGCTTAAAACTACAATTTACAACAAAGCAGCTGATTACCAGAAAGAAATTGATCCTAAAACTTACCCTAATCCTTTTAAGCCAGTCAATTTCATTATTGAGAAGAACTTCAGCATTGGGTACGTTAATGTTACTGTTGTAAGCGTAGTTAAGAAGATGTCTTAAGAGAGTGAAGTAGTCTCCAGAATGCTTAGCTCTCTCTCTTGCAGTACTCTATGCAAACCAAAAATCAAATGATACAGAATTCATACGTGCTTCTACTTACAATGCAACACTAACACATCTTCCCTGAAACCACCAGTGAACGTGAAAGACGTATAAAGTAATTTTTAACCCTTTACAAGTTTACAACTCTATTTCGCTGTTAATGAATGGCTTCTGCGCTATTTTAGTGGCAATTTTAGTAGCAATTTCTATATCTTAGTGGGAAACAAACAGGGAAATGATCCAATGTTCACAGAGGCACAAGCATGCAGAACTGAAAAGCTCTGACAGGCCCAGTAAAAGGCAGCAGTAACTGTAGGTACCTAACTAATATGCTAATGACTTTTACTTGAAGGTTAGCATTCACTGAAGATCAGATGCATACATTAAAGTTTTTTGTTCATGTTCTTATCAGAAAATGCAAGTAAGTCCTTTCCTCTCATTTAACTTAACTAGAAATCAGCTGTGCTGTTGGCCTGTAGGTCAAAGGGAATCTAGATTTTAGTGACTTGTTAGCAGTAATTTGCCTTTTTTTGCAGATATTTTGCCTTCCTACTTTTTAAAGAAATTCATACTGTACTGAAGCCTTTACCTCTACAAACTTACCCCTAGAACAGTAAACAGCAGCGTAATGAAGAAAAGGAGAGGTCTCTGTCCCATGCAGCACCTGGTAGCCATTAAAAAGAATTGCTCCTGTGCCATCTGACGAACAGTTCTGGAAATCATTTAACAGAGGCATTAAACTCAGTCTCCCTATCCAAACAGGACATTACAAAACACTATTAAATTTGTGCTTATCTGCTTAATGACATTTGCTAAAACTGCACGTAATGTAAGAAATGGGAATACCTGGAATTATTCACTACCCATTATATTGTTTCATCTTGCAGTGAAATTTTAGACACATGAATTACTATCACAAAACCTGTTCCACAAATTTAAAGGTAAAAGAAAAAGAAACTTATCAGCACCTACCCATCAAATCTTCACAACTGCCAGCAAAAACTGTATAACACAAGAAATTTGCAACCCTAAATAATTTTTTGTTTTTCTAATCAACCATCAGTTGTGCCTGAAAGACAAAGAACTACTCTAGTAAAACTGCTCTTAATGTATCACTACAACAGTTTGCTAAGCATCTGTGAAGTGATAAAAACTTCTCATTTCTTACAAATGGCAAAAGATGACCCTTCCCAAAAAGTGAAGTGGCTAGAAATAAATCAAATTTTCCATCTAAGAACTTAATCTAACCACTGGAATAATGTGGGAATGGGCAAGCTTAAGGAAAAAAAAATTATGGCAAGCCCTATTCTTTCCAGTTTTATGACTGTATTGTGTAAAAAAATTGTTAGAAACAACTCCGCTTGAATGGGGAGAGAACGCAAAGGAATGCTGTGCTTCGTGAAAGTATCCCAACATATAAAAACCTCATTTTTTCAGTGTCTTTTTGGTGAGGCTGTCATCGTATTCTGTCCATGAGGTCACTGTGGAAAGCCCATGGAAGAATCCTATTTCCTTTAGAGTTCTTTCATGTGCGGTTAAGTGTTCTTCAAAGACATGGGAGAACAACCCTGAGGTCAGAGCAAAGATGCACCTGGCTGAGCACCCCACCTCTGGTGTACACCTAGGAAGGTGTACAAGAAGAAGGAAGCATGTAGTGACACTTCCCCAGAATACTCTCTCAGCTTCTAACAATCTGTGGTTCAGGAAGACTACTAAAAGCAGTATTTCGTAGCCCACACTGGACAAATTCATGAAAGAACCCCTCAAACTACTTCCAAACCAAAGGTTTACACTGCTTAAATGTTATGCTCAAGAAGTTCTTTATACAAATAAACACTGTTCTCTATTCGTTCTCCCTTTGCTATTTCTGATTTTAAAGGTCTCTGCAGTATTCTCCTCCCACCACTTATTTCTTCTCCAATAAAATGTGCCCCAAGCTATTCAGCTGTTCCTCAGACTGAAGTAGTTTCAGAGCTTTGATCTCCCTTGTCACCCTTTTCTCATCTTTGGAAATTCTACTACATTGCTTTGAGTTGCAGAAGACTGTAGGGTGGAGGGAGTCTGGTTTGTTCTTAATAATAATAGTAGACATTTTAGGGGATCTGATTGCTGAGCTCAAGCTTTATGAAAACTTCTCACAGAAATTTCTCTTCAGATGCAACTCTACAACCGCTTGGGACACGCCATGTAGACACTCCTCAGGTTGAAAGCAGAATGAAATAGATAAAGTGGTATTTTCCTGAGAAATGCAACCAAGGAAACACACCCTTCACACTACTACGTCTCTAAGGAGTATTCAGTATTTCAACACAAGTAGTATTATTTTCATGAGGCTATACCAATTTAAGAGCTCTTAAGGAACCATGGGAAGGGTGAGGCCAAATGCAGGCATCTGGTGCCACGTTCGACACCATGACAGCAGTGTAGAGCCGGCAGACGGGACACGAGTTGCATGATGAACTCACGCTCACCCAGTGAAAAAGCCCGAGGCCAAAAGCCTCCATTAAGGCAGGCAACCTGAACCCTCTCCTACTGACAGCTCCAGGGTACAGATTGCCATTTAGACAGCCTCCGGGTGCACGTGCCACCACTTTACACGGGCAGCAAGACTTTTTATTTGTATGGATCTCATATGTACGGCCACCAAACATTTTGCAGCAGATCCCGTTCCAGGATCACTTAGGACTAACTGTTGTGCTACCTATTGTTGACTAAGCCAGCCTTGTATTCTGTGATCACCAGTATAAAAATCAATTACCTTGGAGAGTAAGAACTGCTCTAGTATTTAGTATTAAACATTTGGCATTCTGTTTCTCAATTTATAAGTAGCATGGCTATGCTACAAGGAAACAGCAGAAGTTCCACACAAACTCGGTCTCTGAAAGAAACAAAAACCCACCAATCCACCCAACCTTTTCCAGAAAGGAAGAGATCTGAACTTGATCATCTTTCTTGTCTTTTATGGTGACCAAAAACATTTTCTCACATGCATGTTGTTGCTCACATTGTTCTTTGATTGAGGACAGGAGATTAGAGAACAATAGCTGAAAATGGAACGATATTCGGAATTCCGTCTGGTATCTACCAAACTTTCTCTGTTCTGCAAACACTGATTTGTTTCCCCATTAGTTCGGAAGGGGAACTTTTTATTTTAGCTTTGTTCAACTTCACCGTCTTCCTAATAGTCTTGTATTTCTACTTATGTTTATGGTATTTCAACTATCCCGTAGCCCCAGCTTGGGGACACATCTACTTTCTTCCAGTATTTTATGAAGAAAAGTATAAGTCAACTATTCATCAGACATAACAATATGAAATAGTTGGGATTCAAATTCAGTCAAACAAAGCTCAAATCAGCAAGAAGAGTAACCACTGGAAGGCACCGGCAAAAGTACAGGTATTCTCATCTGTAAATCAAGACAGTATGTTGCCATAAAAAGAGATTCTAGCTCCGTCAGAAACTGTGTTAGATGAAACCTGCACAATGGTATTCAGAGCCTACACCACATAAGACTTACAGATCTGTAAGTTGTCAATCTGAACCAGTAATTCACTTCCTTAAGGAAATATGACTGGAATAGAAAAGTCCTCAGAAAGAGCACCTGTACTTTTCAAAGACTGAAAGAGTGGTAACAAGTGTTTATAGCAAATACTAACTGAAATATAAATAAATGTTGGCGAACATTTTAAGAAATATCACTTAAATTCCAAATAGAGTGCCAGAAAGTCCGATAACTACAGTGAAATTTATTTACAAAAATTATCATCTATTACTCACATTTGTACAATTAAGATCATGTAAATAAGCTACAAATTTGATAAATCTTCAGACTCGCATCAAAAATTAAAGGATTGGGCAGCCATGACACTTGCACATGCTATTCAGTTATCCTGATACTTCAAAGGTGACACGTGGCCAACATAAACATACTGTCAAAATAGTAACTTTATATCCACTGTTGACAGTTTTAAAAATAAAATTTAGTGATTTCTTATTCATCAGCCTTGAAAGTTACCAAAAATAGTGAAAGACAGCTTGTTTCATTTAATGTGTAAAATTACAACACACATTTGTCAGCAGATTTTTGTTAAACTTAGAGCTATCTTAGGTGATAATAACAAGCTCCAGTGAAGCTGAAAATTCAACGTCCTACACTACAGGTCACAAACTAATAAAGCTTGTGGGATTTCAGTAATAATAATCCACAGCTTCACTGAGGTGTGCAAATAGTTCATCATAAAGGAAGAGCCTGATGATACTACTGATTCTTTTGTTATGGTGAATATTTCTGAACATAGGACTTTTAAACCTGTTTTTTCCAAAAAAGTAAAGAGCCCTAAACATGGTGCGGAAATTCTGACCCCATTTATCTGAGTGCACCACAATTTGACTATTTAAAATGTACTGCAAGGCTCAGACAACTTCACTAATTTCTGATATTTCTCAAAGAAAAGTTAAAATATTCATGGAACAACAGTGGAGATAACTTACAAAACCACAATTAAATCTTCAGTAACTGTTTAAAGCATCGCTAACTAATAACAACATACAAAACGTTTCTCGCATGGCTTCTGAAAAGCCACACCCCAATACTTCACATCATTATTTCTGATGGGCTAAATAGTCCTAAGACACACACGGTACACATGTTGTATTGTGCAGATGCTCTCTAAATAGCTCTGTAGGAATAGCTTGGAGATAACAAGAGATCTCACAACTCTACAAGCAGGACTGCAAAGTAACCAAACCACATCTCTCTTGGCAACTCCTGTCAGTTTTCCGTGTCTGTCTGTCCCCTCAGATTGCTAAGGGGTCCTCTCCAAGACGCTGCTACTGCATCATGTGACAGCTCCATGTAAAATACGTGAGTCACGTGAAGAGTCACAAGCATATCACTCCAGTGCAAGAAAACCAGACAATTAAATCTTAACCTCCCCCTCTCCTCCAACAGCTAGTACTGTATTTTTGTCTTTACTGACCAGGAAAAGTACAGGTAAACTCTTCTATACCTAAGTCACTTAAACACTATCATGTAGTGAGTATTCATGCAATTTCTGAAAAATGTAAGGTACTTATTACTTCACTCTAAATAAGTTTTTTTAAAGCCATCAGTAGCACATTATCAGGCATCCATCTAGCTTGACAGTATCCACCTTCTGAGTGCAAAGAAGACGGGATTGATACAGTTACCACTTCAGGATAGGTATCCAAATTACCCATTTATACTGCTGAACAATAAACTAAGAAAACTGCAGAAAGAAAATCACTTCAGAAGTCACTGCTCTGCTTTTAGGCTTTATACTAGTTCTGAATTTTAAAATAATAACGTGATCTAAAAAACAAAAACCAAAACCCGACCATCAAAACTTACTTGCTGTGGCAGTGCAACAGCAAATCAATGATAAATGTCTGCCACGCCTTTTCTTTACTGAGTGCGTCCAGTGCCGTTGGAATCAAAGCAAAACACAGGGTCATCACCTCCAAAGCTTCACAGCAAACTTGTTCATCTTCCATGTCTGGTTCATTTCCTGCATTTGTCTGAAAATAAACAAGAGAGCAGAGAGTGGATATAGAAGAAAATTCCTGGGAAACCCAACTGGCTCCAAGGTACAAAGACTAAATACAGACACAAACCACACATTTGTATACTAAGTGATTATCACTGTCAAGTGTTTTATGCACTCCACTCAGCTGTGTTTTAAAGCACTATACAGGATGACCTGAACTTCCAGTACTGCACTCCTCAAAGGAGGATTCCAAGCATGAACTTAAGGAGCCAGAAGAAAGCTTGTAGGCAAAAGTTAAATCAGTTACTGTTGGGTTCTTCTGTTGGTTTATGTTTGGGGTTGGTTGGGGTTTTTTTGTGGGGTTTTTTTTTTTACTTTTAGGTTAGAACCTGGAGCTTAAAGCTTTGGAAACAGTTACTACTTGAACAGAGAAAGGCTACAGCAATGTGTATTTCACCAAAAAGTCAAGTTTTACAAAGCTTTGATACAACTTATTTGAGCAAAAGCTTCTTAATACTGCTAGAATTCACTCATTTTTACAAGTACGAAACAGCTGAACCGAATTTCAAACATAGTTGCTGTGGTGATTTTTGAAACATGAAAGAATAATATTTCTAATTTCAATCAAACATTCAAATGAAGTGAGTTGAAGTTGGCACATTTTTCCAAAATAATTTGAGAATAAAAGCAAACCCCCTTCTCCACCTAAGCAAAAATTACGTGAGCAGGTTTCAACCTTAATTCACGGGTAATCATGGCTGCAGGTTAGTAAGAGTAAGTAGAGGCATAAAGTAAGTGGTTTATATATGGAAAAGTATCAAAATTAAGTAGGCAGAAAGAAGTGATTACAGAGAGATAACTATTTGCAAACAGCAGCAGAAGACAAAGTATGTCTCAGTCTGGCAACAGTCACTGTTTTGTCTCTGTGCAACAGCTAAAAATCAGAGACAGTCACTGCAGCAGGAAGATGTGGTAATTCTGACAGATCTCGAGATAAGAAAGCAAAAGCAGAATGCTTTCTCCAAGTCCAAGACTGCACCTGCTCTGCACCGAAGCCCTGTTTAGAAAAGAAAGTTATTTCTGCATGGGTGCAGGGATCTAGAAGAAAGGCAAAGAGCATTTTACACTCAACAAAGCACTACCCTACGCTCAGGCAATGAGAGCTGATAGGTCTGTGCAAGCAGCACACTTGCACCTAATAAGGATATGGCTGTTTGATACGACTGAAAGTCACACACAGTCTTCTTCAGCCACTCAGAGGAATCCTACAGCAGAATTTTTTGAGGCAGGAGGCAGAAGAGACTCCATAAAAGTTATGCTCTCAAAATAATTTATCTTGACTTTGAAGTTTAACTGAATTGACCAGGTAAGTTCAGAAGTTCCTCAAAGTGCTCACAACATTCTTTCAGAAGTCGTACTTGAAGGGACTACTCTGAAGTGCCTCTTAAAAAAATAAAGTTACCATAGTTGCTTTTAATGTTTTTAAGAATCCTGACATGTCATTCCCAATTTAAAAAAAAAATTAAAAAGTCTGGTTTTGTTCTTAAACTAACATTTAATGACAAACTCCTACCCCATAGACTTTGCAAAATGCTCCTATGACCTATGAGTAAAAAGCCTACAGTTTAGCAGTCAACTTACAAAACAGAAAGCATTTTTCTTAAAATACTTTCTCTTCCAAACCAGCATCTGCCAGTCACTGGTATATTCAATCTTTGTAAAACTACCATACAGTTTACTTCCTTATTAAATACAGAATCTAACTGGGCTGAAAACATGTTACGGCAGCTTAGGGAACTGCTGTATTTTTGAACTTGCACCAGATTCAAGTTACAATTAAATACAGTTCCAGAGAAAAGGAATTTAGAATAAAAGAATTAAACTGTGACAAGACAACTGACATACTAGACTCCAAAATACATCACCAGGATACCTACTTAATAGCTCATCACACTCCAAGCCTGACCTTGTTGACACTGTCCCTTTTGTAAAGAAAGGAACAGTTACACAGAGAAGTTGTTGGTTAGGAATTCTTACCTTTTCATAGATTTTACTAATTTCTTCATTGGAGCTGAAAACCAGCTGAACTGACCCACAACCTGATGCCCAAACAATTTTTTGTACTGCCCTAATAACACAGATATCAGGGATGTATTTTGAAGCCTGAAAAAAAGAGAAATAAACCAAAGTAACATTAAAATACAGTTCCCAGTTACATTAAAATGCATTCTAACAAATGTATTTTATAGAGAATTTAAAATTTAAACAAAGAATTTTTCCTTAAATAGAAAAAGATGTATCTTGAAATGCATTTGTACTTCACTTACTTGCCTTTTTTAATAGAAAGTAGCATGTACATTGCATATATTACAGAATCTTAAATCATAATGCTCTAAGTACCAAGAATTCCTAGAAAACGAGCATTTTTGACAAATAACCAGCAACTATTTGATTCTGAGTAAGATTTAACAGAAACTACCAACTTCAACGCTAACATATTCTTAATTCAGGGGAAAAAAACCCCAACAAACCACCAGGCATGCAGCTGGAAGGCAGCTAGCCTCTTAAGTAATAGAAGAAGTTGAAGTTATTTTAGGGTTTGTCCTCAACATGATATTTGCTGTGCTAGTTAACAGACAGCTAGACAAACCAATGCTTATCAAGTATGTGATTAATATATAAAGGAACTGTTCTGTATTTAAGTTATATAGAGTTTTAAAATAATAAGAACTCAGATCAGGTACCTTATGAATGCAGAATCATTCTTTGATATTTGGGGCATGGATTAATATTCAATAGTTTCTACTGAAGTACCTACATTACAAAACACACTGCAACTGCTATTATTTATAGTTTAAATCGATTTTCAAATAAAACCTGAAAATATTTGGAGTCTCTATTAGACCTGTCCAAAAAATAGGCAATCTTTAAAAACTTTAAAAGGTAGACAGTTCTTGAAAATTTCATATTTAATTTTTCTAATGCTCAGTATTAATAAAGAGACTAAGAAGCTTAAGTAATTAGCTGGCTGCATCAGGAAACCCAAGCAATGTGCATTCTTGCTAATGATACCGACAAAACAGTAGTTACAAGAAAAATAATAGGTATTCAACTTTGTCACAAACAAAGCAACCTTACAGTACCAGCATCATAAGAGAAATTTGTCACACATAAAAAGAACATTAAAAAAAAATCTTACTTTAATTTTTAAATCTTCAAGTATCAAAATTTTTTAAAAAGCTCTAAGATTTCTTTCTGTGCTGTAGTCTTCTGTTGGGCCTATGGAAGCCACAGAATCACAGAATGTTTGCAGTTGGAAGGGACCTCTAGAGATCATCTAGTCCAACCCCCCTGCCAGAGCAGGATCCCCTAGGGCAGCCACACAGGAACACATCCAGGCGGGTTTTCAAAGTCTCCAGAGAAGGAGACTCCACAACCTCTCTGGGCAGCCTGTGCCAGGGCTCTGTCACCCTCACAGTGAAAAAGTTTCTCCTCATGTTGATGTGAACCTTCCTACGTTCTAGCTCACATCCATTATTCCTTGTCTTATTACTGGGCACCAGCAAAAAGAGACTGGCACCTTCCTCTTGACCTCCACCCCTCAGGTATTTGCATACATTAATAAGATCCCCTCTCAGCCGTTTCTTTCCAAGACCAAACAGCCGTGGTTCTCTCAGTCTCTCTTCATTGGAGAGATGTTCAAGTCCCTTAATCACTCTCGTAGCTCTCTGCTGGACTCTCTCCAGTAGGTCCCTGTCTCTCCTGAACTGGGGAGCCCAAAACTGGACACAGTATTCCTGGAGTGGTCTCACCAGGGCAGAGCAGAGGGGAGGAGAACCTCCCTAGACCTGCTGGAAACACTCTTCCTAATACACCCCAGGATACCGTTGGCCCTCTTGGCTGCCATGTCAGATTTATTTTTTTAAAAATTGTGAGATCTGTTGAAAAAAAGTCTTTGACCATCAAAATATCAAAAGAAAAAAAAAATCTTTCAAAGTACAATACAAATTTAGATCTACAGCAGTTTTCATGATTTCAGAAAAGTATAGACAATATAACAGCAACATAGTTAAAGAAATTCAGATTTTGTTTGTTTTGATATGCCCAATGAAAGAAAAATTATTTTATTTGAGGTCCCCCCAAAAAGACAAAGCCACCACTAATTCTTACCTCACCTCAAAAGACATTTCTTCTGAGGATGAAATTTAGTTAAATCAGAGTTCAACTGGCTGGGTTTACACACACAAACACCTATGGATGCAATACCACCCCTAATGGAAGGCAGACGGTTCAGTCTTGCAGTCGTGGTTTATTTTAGACACTGCTCTTGGTTCAGAAGAAATAGCGTACTTTTAAGATGACAGTATGAGACTACTTTTATTTAAATAGCTCAGAAGTGGCTTGGAGATAGCTTTATAGAGATTCCATACACTGCCACACTGGAAACTGAGGAATCTCAATTCACTGTGGAAAAAGAAACTGTAGTAGTACTGATTTTAGCTTCTGCTGAATTCAGCAGAATTCCCTAATGCATTCACTAATGTGAGTCATAATTTCAAATCCAAATGGGGTTTGGTCACACCACACAGATAAGACTATTATATTTGCAAAGCATATTGTTTAACCCTACTGAGCTCCACAATCCAATTCTTCACTTGTATCACTAATGCATTTTCAATATATAAAGATACACTGGCAACGATTTGAGACTTTCATCTTTTATTTATCTTTTTTATCCTTCCCCTTTTCTGTGTTTCTCTTCAGGAGGAGAATGTTACTCAGAAACCAAAAAATGAGAGACCAAAAGAAGAAGAAAGTATCATAAAAATCTTCTTACTTCTTCAGATCTATTACATCAGTTTTTTTAAACTGCTGATCTAAATGTAACGATACTCACTATCTATTGAAGAGCTTGTACAGAACTTGTGTACTTCACTTTGGCCTTTTTACGCTATTAGACACTGAATTAAGACATTGAATTTCATAATTGCATACGGAAACAATTAATTATTCAATTTATTAAGTAAACTTACAAACCACATGGACATCACCTAAAATGTTTCATAGTATTTTAGAAGAAAAATGTATGTCTCACAAAGCAATAAATTGTAAGGATTAAAAAAAAGGATACTCTAGCATAAAAAGGTGATACAGAAAGGAATTCACTGACCTCATCAGATATTTGCTGTGCAAGACGGATTGCTACATTTCTTAGCATGCATTCTGAAGTTGGATTAGGAATGTTTTGTAGGGCATTTTGTAGCACCACTGCCTGGTCATGCGTAGTCTGGTTTATCTGGAATAAAGTATTTCTTATTTTTACATGGAAGAAAGAAAGCAAGAAGATAATGAAAATCTAAAGTTACTTGGAAAGGCTTGGTAGAAGTACGTAAGATCTTGGAAGGAAAACTACTTACAGAAACTGCAAACACCAAGAAAAATAAGCCCCCTCATTTTCAAATAGATACCATCACATCTGAAGACACAATTGTACACTACAGTGTACAATCATACACGTGTAAGTAGTTAAGAGGAGAGGCACTTGCTCAAAAGTACTTAGGTTTACGGCTTTGTTTATTGATCCAATTATGTCAAGTTAACAGAATGTTTAAAATTACAGTCTCCTTCTCCTGTTGATGCAGGAAAGAAAGGGTTTGTCAAAACAATGGGTCTCCCTCTGGATTAGCTAACAGTGTCCAGACAGAACATGTTGCAGTGTTTGTTATAGTTAAGTACACTTTAAACACTTGAGAGCACTATTGAAGAATTCTTTTCTGAATTATCTCTCCTGTTCTTTATCATACTTTCACAACAGAAACAGTAGCAAGACAAGTTTTTATCTTTTCTCTATTGGTTTGAGCTTAGGGTTCCTCCTCCTTAGGTTGACAGAGCTTCATAGTTTTGACAGTTTCAGATCTGAAATGGTTGCTTTCTTCTTGTAACAAGCTTGCTGGAATAGACTGTGTGCCGTGGTTACAAGTTAAAACTTCTTGTACAAAAGAGTTTCTTCACTTTCTAGTACCATTTCATCCAAAAAACCTGTATGAAATGCTGCTTAAGAGACATACTTAGAAGTTGTTCTGTAACACCTGGTGCTTGTCCTATTGCTTTGCTTGGTCAGCTTCACTAAGAAACTTGATTCGGGGAGCAAAATTACAGACCTCTCACTGAACACTAACAGAGCTTCAACAGTCAATTAGCTGTAGCAAGTGGGCTGTAAACCACCAAATACAATATATATGGAGGCAAGTCAGGATCTATGTACCAGAACACTATGTCTAACAACATTATTGATTCAACTTTCTATGAAAGCACGGAGGAAAAAAATTGAAAAAAATTGAAAACGTCCTACTGACAGCAGCAGACTGATAACTGGAAGGCTGCAGATGCATTATCTTGGTTACCTTGTCCTCTTAAGCACTGGCAAGTCAGGAGAGAAAGTTACGCTGTGGTACTTGTGTTTAAGTAGGATAGGTGAAAGATATTTACAAACCTCACCTTCACCCCAAGGTGTAAGCTTCCTGCTGCTGCAGCAGTAAAAATATGAAGACTGAAGTCCTTTAAAGAGAATAATGACAGTGTGTTTTTTCCAACATACCAGTTAATAATAAAGTTAGATGCTGGCAACGCTGAACAGTGAATGTCAGCAGTCACCGTTAGCAACAGAGAAATGTTACTACCTCCTAGGCGGTCAGCATAAACCTGTTTCAAAGAGTACTAAAGACTGTTTATTCCAACAGTACTTCAAGACTCATCTGTGTTCCAAACTCCCTTCATTATAAGAAAATAGGGCAGGAAAATTTACTCATTTTAAATAAATGAACGATAGAGTGGCAAACATGTGCTTTAATATGTCTATCATATTCTAACATACGATGTGAAAAGGGATCTTGACCTCTTTTTAATCATCAAGGGTTTTGATTTCCTTAAAAAAAATTGAATCAGGTATATTCCAACAGATGGAGCTTACCAGAACAGACACTTATTTTTCAGACCTAAGGGGAATATACATCTCTCTGCTTCAAAGATGGATCTTAGCAAATATTCTGGAAGAAAGTGCTATGAAGCAAGGGCCTCTATGTATTCTTGAGTGTAAGGTGATAGTTCAAGCAACTATTTGGGGTGGAGCCTCACAAAAGTAAAAAACCAAAAAAAGCTGGAATATGTGGAAGCAAACGTTCAAGACGGACAGTAGCAAATTTTAATTTTTGGGGTCTATGCTGTTCATCTACTGTAAGAAGGCAGCAATAAATCCCACAGCATATCTGTCCAGATTTTGAAAAACTAACCAGCCACATTAAATATGTGTAGAATCTACTACTATAGACATGTGAGATCACAGTTCAGAGCACCTGTGTTATATTTTTGCTTTCCAACTCTGACAAATCCTAGGGTAGGACACCTTTCAACTATCAGCAATTCAGTTTGCAAGGTACCTACCTGTTCCCTACAAGAACTTTCTACAAGCAACAGATAGAATTAGGAATCTAGGAAGCCAAGGACTTTGTGTAAAAAAAGTGGTGGCATGACTCAGTGTGTTCTGTTGTTTCATGCTCTAATTGTAAATAGAAGACACAAGAAATTCAGAAGCACATCCTTCAAGAGACTTGAAATTTCAAAACAATCAGAATCTGCATTTATGGGATAGACATACTTGAAAATGGAAAGTTGCCTGCACTAACAATAATCATGCAAACCACTGAAAATCAAATATAGAGCAAGTGGATCTCGCACGTAACTTTTCTACAGTTAGAAAGAAACAGGTGTGTTTAGGAAGTTGACCTCTTTTTCAGAATCAACCGACAATGTTATCTGGAATCACTGTGAGTTCTTGACATGCAGCTCACTCAGATTGTCACTGGAGAGCAGATAGATGTTGCTGCAGACAATATAAAAAACAGAGTATGGTGCTATTTGCAGCAAGGAAGATTTATATTACCGGTGAAATTGTACTTGTGCCTTCCACAACTGGCTGACAAGCTTCTGCCACAGCTCGAACGTGGCCATATCCAATTGCTGTTAGCAATAATTTGGCTATTTTTAGAGCATTAAGGTAGGCACCCCTTCGAGTTTCCATATCTGCATTTGGCAGGAAGTTATTTCTCGTCAGCATGCTCAATACAAGAGGCAATCCACCGCTTTTTAAGAAGTTGTATTGGAAGTCACTGGCATCTTCTCCCAGAGGTGCACTGGCAGGCATTAACAAGGCATAAACCACCTGCAGAACAAAATACAGTGTTAGCTAACAGAAATGCACTAGTTTGATTATAAATGACTGAACACAAGACTATGTTGGAATACCGCTTAAGCAATGCTTTGACAGCACTGGCCACACACCAGTTTATTCTAGTATTTTCAGTCGTTAATTTCAAACTAGAATTTGATCTTAGGCTTCTGTAATGTTACAGAAAGGATTGTCAAAGAGTGTTGAAGGTTTTTTAAAGAACAGGAGAAGCATCACAAACCTCTGTTAGATACAGCACTTGTGAGGCAGAAGGACCAAAGAACAGAGAATCAAGGGATGGACTAAGGCTGCTTTCCCCAAGCTTTGCATGATCTAAACAAATAGCTCTTAGTTTCTCAACTGTAGTGTTATCTGCAATAAAAACAACACTTATAAACATCTTGTAACAAAACTACTTCAGAACAATCCAGTAGTATTTGTAGTTATAAAACTGAAAAATTTTAAGTATTTCAGAAAAGTTGCAAAAAGTGTAACTGATGGACAAGATCAGACTATGCAGACTATCTGCAATGACTATTTTTGTCTGTACAAAAGCGATACTGTTAAAGTAGTACTCAAAACCACTTCAAAATACAGCTCTTTTCTCTGCTTTCACTGCATTGTACTGCAGTACTAACCACAAACTATGCAACTTTATATGAGAGATGAGGTAACTATTTAGGTAATACAATTACAATCTAATTCGGATAACAGTCATGAGTCAAAGTATCCATAAATTATCAGAAAGTGAAAATGCCTCTGTATCTTCATTGTTACATAACAACAGGCGAGAAATTATTATACAGGATATTACAAGATAAGACAGGATAAAATTTTTACCTGGTGGCATGAGCTTCATAAGAACACGTGCTCCATCTCTAAGAGGTGGCATATTGAGGCTACTGCCCAAGTCTGCAACTTGCCAAAGAAAGGAGATGTATCGAGGATGCAGTGACATGATCTTAAAATAAACAAATAAAAAACACCATAAAAGCTGTTAAAGACAGAGCACAGTAAAAAAATGCTTTCAAACCGTTCATTTTGGAATATGCTTACCACTCCAGGCAAACAGCTTTCCACTTCTGGATTTGGCCCATCACTGTAGTGATTGCCATGGTTGCCCGGAGAACCAGTTGAAGAGTCAGAAGAACTATCTGGACTTGAGGGCATATTAGAATTTATCTGTGTAAGCTTAGCTGTAATTAGCTGAAAAACACAATCATAGTTTTAATACTATGCAAAGAGGAAGTTTCTTTATGAAATAAGCACCTGACATAAGGTTAATAGTATAACTACTTTGCAAGAGTGATCCCACACATGGCACTTTTCAAGCATTTATAATAGGGAAGTGAGGTCTGAATTGACATAAATAATCAACCTGCAACACTCACCGTTTTATCTTTGAGATTCAACTGTCCAATTAATTTTCTGTCATCTGCAGGGTCCACCAGCTCACCTCCGATGAACAGTTCTACTTTTGTGTGTGCGCTATTGGCTTTAATACGATTGAGAATGCAACGCCGTACTTGGCCGATCGTGTCATTTGTATGAGACCAAATGTCCAAATCTTCCACCTGTCGGCCTTGGTTTGGAAAACGAACCACCAGTGTGATATGTTTACCACGAAAAGCTCTGAAAATAAACAAACGAGACTAAGTTACTTATTTCATGAGGGGAAAAAAAAAAAATTTTCCTCCTGTGTTGCAGGTATTTCAACATCAAATCTTCACATACAGTGATAACACTCCAGTTATGAGTTATGAGATTTTGTGAAAGCCCCAGCAATTATGCAACTATAACATACACAGAAACTTTCAAGAAGCCACGCTCCACGCAAGTGCATTAAACATCTGGTTAACTTTACAGTCCGGTTAGGAACACTGACAGAATTTTAAAAACTCTATTATGAAGCTTTAGATCTTGTCTCTGGCTTGTAATTTCCCGATCAAGACGTGTAAACAAAGCTCAGTCAGACTGGCAACTACGTTTTGCTCTCCTAGCAAAACAACTCAGTTATAAATACACCAAGATCAAAAAAAGTCATGAGGTCACCAAGTCTTAATGCCTTCTGTCAAAAGCTGTTAGAAGTTTTAAATGAGAATTCCAATTTTAAAAATCAGAGTGCTTTAAAAAAAATTTAAAGAGGTCAAAAAAAAGAAGAAAAATGTTCACACTAGTAGGAATCACACTTTGCACAATGGCATGGAACTCATTAGGAAAGATGTGTCCAGATAAGCTCAACAAACTAATCCCATGCAACAAAAGAAAAGAAAAAATCCTCATAACTGCTCCTTGCTAACACAGCCTGTGAAAAATTTAGTTTAATCAAATACGCAGCCTATGTAAAAAAACCCCTGCACTCATGGTCTTAACAACAGAAATTAATAAGGACTAATCAATCAATACATACATACAATAAAATGCCGTAGGAGCACTGCAAACTACTGACACATCACGAAGGAACAAAAACCTCTTGGATTTACTTTACAAAAAGGGCATTTAGAACAAAGTCACAACAAATCTTCACCATATCTAAAAATATGTCAGCTGCATCATAAATACATAGCAGTTTCTGCATACTCCTTATGTAATTTCGAGACTTTTCTCCCACAGAAAGCAGTTACCAATATTGGAACATTTAAACAGTTTTCTGTTCTGCTTTCCTCTCTCAGGAAATAAAGTATTTTGTTTGTGAAAACATCTACATAACACTGGAATTAACTGTTTCCTTTTTCTTTGTACCAAAGACAGAACAGCGGTGCTTAGGGTCTTGGTTTAGTACTGGATTAATGGTTGGACTCCATGATTTTTAAGGTCTTTTCCAACGTTAATGATTCTGTGATTTGATGAAAGAAGGAGTAGCCAGGATTTAAACTAAGTTTTTATTCAAGCACAAGAGCGAAGGTATACAAAAAATAAACATGAAAGCATTGTTCTGTTCTTCCTCTTTTTACGAGGAACTTACATAGAGTATTTCACTTAGAGATAATTCTAAATTTAAGCTTGCAAACTAAGATTAGCATCTCTGTAAACAACTCTGGAAGATGAAGGTATACATTAACAACATGCTTTTTTGATTGAGAGGACTATAAGAAACAAAGAAGCTTTGCTCGTACTAAGTTAAAGAATGATACAGCTTTTAAATAATTATCTGAAAAAACCAGAAATACATGCAAAACAGTCTAGCCACAAACTAGTGGAAACTAGTTTATTCTCAGTTCCCGTCTTTTTCATATATGCCTGTACTTGCCTGATTTTTAAAATTATTTTTTTTATTTACTACACATCATACTTTAATGTATTAGCAAACAAAATGGAATTTCAAAACTCTATAAACACATTCCATGAACATAAACACTTCAGAATGTAAAAATCACAAAGATATTTGTAATATTTTAGTTAATAGATAATAAAATCACATACCTTGACATAGGTAGAATAGTTCTCTCTTCGTGGTAATCACTGTCACATTCATTTATATACTCTCTTAGAACAGTCAACACTCTCACCATTCGTATCGCTTCTTGTCTTGCACAATTGATACTGTCTTTATCTCCATCCAAGACACATAATGTATCATAAGAAGCTTTCAGACGATCAAAACAGGACTGAATGAAGTCTTCGTGAATCACTACCTAATTACATTAAAAATTGGTGAAATTACAATAAATATTAAAAAACAAAACAGCAGGATAATTGAATGGTAGAAGTAGAAAACAAAAACTCAGAAAGTTAACTCTATAAAGCTGTTTGATTGCACTTTAGAGTAAACTCTCACTGATAAATAGCTCTAATTTAGTGTGCACTACAAAAATCTTGCATGTCATCACTAGCTGTAACTGTACACAGCAAACTTGCACTTAATTAGAAAAAGTAAACTTTTGCACAGAGAACATTAGTTTGGACTTCCTCTTATTCATTTCCTGAGACTATGTTGAAGAATCTCTAGCTGAGACAATCTAGTACAGGTCAACCTACTTTACGCTAAGAACAAACACAAAACATCTACAGACCACCAGAACAATTCCCACCACCCCAATCACACAACCCAGCAGTGGCAGCTGCAGCAAATCTCTTCCTCCTGCCTGAGACCTAACATCTCCTTGCTCCTGATCTAGCACAACATATAACCTACAGTATCACTGTAAAAAGTTTGCAGCATCTCCGACAGAACCATTAACAGTCATAGCCACGGCACTAAACCACAGACTTGCAGCCCCTGTGCTTAGAGGCAGCTCAGAAGCAAAGGAGTTACCAGTATGCTGCAACAAAGCACTTCTGTGAACATGAAGTAAATCCAACGCTTCCTGCGAGTGTCAGATCCAAGCACGTGCAGATGGACAGATCTGCGTATGCTTAGTAAGCCCAGACCCGTAGCAAGACGGCGACATGCAGCCCATCTGCCGCTACGGCAGGCTACAGCTTGAATGGCTGCAAATGCACCACCTAGAGCAGCTGTGCTGGATCTGACAGACTGGCAGCTCTAGAGACTAGAAAAGTGGTTTTGAGGACAAGTATGAAAACTGGAGTTTTAAGAAATACAACGGGCAAGCTACTAATTGGAGATTGTCTGGAGGACAATATTCCCCCCAAATTTGTGAAATCCCAACAGTTCACTTCCTCTGACCTTTCAGAAACTCATTATCATTTCTCTCTGTCCACTGAAGCAGAGGTCCCAGCAAATATTAACGTAGGGAGGTAATATCTGATTTGCTAGAGCTCAGCTTGACCATTACATGGAAACTGTGACCCTTTGTAAGGGACATGACATAAAAAGAAGATTAGATTAGCTTGTGACAACACTCGGCAGACCCATCCAGTGAACATACCAGTACAAATAAGTACCACAACCGCCAAGTTCAACATAAGGCTTACCTAAGTATATGATATGAACTGTTTTCTCAGTAGGAAGAAATATGACGGATCAATTTAATACAGAAAAATAACCTGAGTTCAAGTCATGAACTATCAGAAAAAAGTCTTAATTCTGCATCTGACCATAACCTGACAGCTGGACTTGGGAGTATACTCTCCAAAACAGGAAAACTATTCTCTGTTTTCAAAGCTTTCAAATATGAAAGTATCACCAAATTGAATTTTATCACCGTTTCTCTATTATATTATATTCCAGTTTTCCTGCTGCTTGTTAGGTTTTTTACCTGATTAACTTGCAACCTTGGGCCAAGATTAGTATAGATCTCTTTAAGAAGATCTATTGCTCTGTTTGCGATGTCATCATTTCCCTGAATCACAACCTAGCACAATATTAAAAAAAAAAAGGCATTAGAACATCTTAAAAACTTTCTTGTATAAAATTTAAAACCAAAATGACTATATAAGCATTTTAACACAACAGTATATCTAATTATTTTATATTGTGAAAGTGACTAAAATGCTTAGTTACAAGATACAATCAATGCAATTTACACTGAAGTTAATTATGAGTCAGAATTAAGAATGAGGTAGTTTAAAGGAGTCCAGAGTTAGAAAAAAAGCCACTGCTTTATAAATAGAGTGAAAGTAGTGTTTATATATTCACCTTCACATCCACTTTCATTCATTTCAGAGACTAAGACAACTATTTTCCAGATGCTTGAACAAGCTACATTACTGAAGTTTTTAAAAACGAATTTCAATGGCTGTGAGTGGGTGGAAAAGGGACGGGCAAATGAGTTCTGTTCCTAACCTGATAATTTGAATTTTAATTACTAGTCACCAGGTCTGAGAGCAGCCCTTAGAGACAACCCCTGCAGGACTCTGACCTGGAACTTTGTGAGTTCTGTCACGCTGCCAAACAGCAGGGCAGATCCAAGTAACCAGACTCACACAATTAAAACATGCTACCATTATGTGGGCACTCTGTACACAAACACCATCTAAAAACTTACTTGTACAGACATAGTGATGTCCTTTGTTTTTAGCTATTACCACCATGATTAAAACACTTAACCCTTCAACAAGCCACAACCAAAATTACTGAATGGCCTCAAGTTGCACCAGGGGAGGTTGAGATTGGTATTAGGAAAAATTTCTTTACTGAAAGAGTGGTGAGGCATTGGAACAGGCTGCCCAGGGAAGTGGTGTAGTTGCCATCCCTGGAGGTGTTCAAAAAATGTGTAGATGTGCATATATTGGGACACGGTTTAGTGGTCATGGTAGTATTGAGTTGATGGTTGGAGTAGATGATCTTAGAGGTCTTTTCCAACCTTAATGATTCTGTGATTTATACGCGGCACATTTTACAAAACACCGCCACAATAATCATGCCACAGTGTGCTACTATAGGTTCTAATACAGCTCTTGAAAACTTAAGAGATATTCTGAAAAAATGAAGTATCAAATCAGATACTGATGTTTTTTACCATTAGGTTTGGCAAGCTTCAGAAAGCTACAATCTTCCTACTGTAAAGCTATAACCATGTTTAGGCAAAAGGTTGCAGATGGAAGAGAAAGAATCACACCAGTGACCACTTGGTCTAATCCAGAATAACTCCACCATACTAAAATGAATGATATGAACTAGCTTACAAAGTACACAAACCAAAGTTTAATTCTAATGTGCGAATGAGAAAGAAAGAGAGGGGAAAACCTACAGATAACTCACTTGGAACAATCCTTTCTTCTTCAACAATACAGACAATTTTTTAATCTTATGTGCATATACAAAATATACTTCATATTTAAAATAACTTTCCAGGAAACACCGGTCTGCAAAGTTACCAGCTTGCATACTTGCTGGAAGGATGGTGCTGTCAACATTTATGCATTTAGTTTGAAAAAGTAGCTTTCTGTAATTTCAGTTTCTAACTAATAAATTACACATTCCTGAAGTAGAAAAAGATGGAGAAAGACTTAGTAGTTAACGCTGCAGATGCTTCCTCCAATTAACTCACCCTCCAAAGGTAGTCTAATCCTATTAATTCCAGATCATCCATCATATAGGCTCGTCTCTTTGCTACTAGCTTGCCTTCACGACAGTTCACAGCTTTGAAGAAACGTTCAAAACATTTCATTCCATTTTCTGTTAATAGGGAAGGATCCAGCTGAAGCACATTATTTTCAAAGAAGTCCTTATTAATGTCAGGGTCTAAGTCTGGTTCATCCCCCATTAGTTTGGAATACCATTTAAAACAGGCTTCACGATCACAAAGATAAACCGCATTTTCAGCTAAACACTTCCATATTTGCTTCGCCTGCGGGGCACAGAGCCACAGCTGACCATCCTTCAATAAAAATCTTGAGCAAAACAAAGAGACAATTAACAGCACTGTCTAACAGACATCTAGAGTTACAATTCAAGTAAAAAGTACAGGCAAAAAGGCAAATAGGCATATTATACATGTATATATAAGCATGACCCTAAAAACTTTATTTACATCATCTGTCCACTCATAATTAGTCCCACAATTTCTTAGTAAGTCTGAATGGATGAAGATCTTAGAGTCCAAACAAGAAAAAGGAGTAAGATTTGGCAAAAAATGTTCTACATGAAAGTACCAAGCATTGCTTAGATATTACACACAAAAAAGATTGCACACCTCCTAATGTAAATTATTTAGTTTAAAAGTCACGTCACAACATAAGAGATTAAATTACTCCTGCATCATTCACTATGTTTTAGCATTCTCTTTAATAAAATCCCAAATTAAGTTATCAATTCTATGGAACAGAGCCAGAAACAGACATCAATGAACTAGAAATTTTTCCTTTTATTTGAGTAAGTTTTTCATTTATGTTAAATTATTACTAAAGAATCATTAAGAACTTCAATTCCGAGAGCTAACATTATCATTTTTTCTTCCTGAACTATTCTTAATCAAAGTTCTTCAGAATAATTAGAATAATTTTTCTGATTCAAAATCCTAACTGTGTAAAAGAAATCAGGGACTAAGTTATGGCATTGCATTTCAGAAATTGCTACCTACATATGCCACATTTGACAGCCATGGGACTTCATAAATTCCTTTACATTAACAACTAGTGAACATAAATTTAAGGAAGTTAGAATTTTTAACATGCAATAAGGATTTATTAAGTCTGCTATCCATATGCTATTGTATAATTTCATTAAACAGTTATTCAACACTTCAGTTTAATTCATAAAAATTATTGGTAAAATTTTAAAAAGTAAAAAAGGTCTCCCTTAGGAAACAATTAAAAAAAATACTGCAGAATTTGACAGTTTGACAGTTCATGCATTTTTACTCGCCTAGGAACAGGTTAAAAGCAAGTTAAAAGCTGAGACATAATCTAAAAAGCATCAACACAATGCAGCTCTGTGATGAGCAGAGATACTTTGTTTCCTTATTTTCCTCAAACAGTAGCTGGTCAAAAGTTAGCCAAATATTTTTTTTATTCCAACCTCTTTCTAAGGATAAGTTGCTGACAACCTAACCTGAGTGTCTGACAAAAGTATATGTCAGTGTATTATTATGGATTTCAGTCTGGTGTGGTACAAGAAATAAGGAACCATGAACACATCTCTATATGAAGTATTATAAATTTTCAGCTAAGTTACCCTAATATGTTTGTAACTTTATCCACATGCACCCTGTACTCAAGTCAGTAGTCCTGCACACAGACAGAAAAATCCCATACAAATCTTGGTGTACAATCAGAGCCTTGGATTGCAAAGATCTTAATAAATTTAATTTTAATATTCCAATACTGACATAGAAGCCCTCTGGGGGAAAAAAAAACGACAAGAAAAACAAAACAAAAACATTCTATTTTTGCATCTTTTCATTTTAAAAGAAGTTAACAACAACTTAAAGCTACATAAGAGAGATACCTAGCTGGTTTTTTTTTTCTTTGAAGTATTCTCACAGAAGTTAAACAAGGGATCAAGTTAAAACTAACCGTAAGAAGTTAAGTCGCTCCTGCACTTCCTGCACATGACTGTATCTGCTTCCTGGTCTTACAGTTTGAGGATCATATTCACCATGCTCTGCAAACACAATAAGTTTTATTAGACAATGCAGTCAGAAGTCAGGCTGACTCTAAGAGACATGACATGTTTGAAGGCTTGTTAGTCTGAGTATAATTAAACTAACTCAAAATCCAATAAATTTTCTGTAAGGTGTACGAAAATAATTTTCAGCAGCTTGCCACCAGTTAATATTGCTTCCTACACTAAAACGGCTACAGAAAACCACTACTGAAATCTATAATCAAATCAACAAATAATTATGCACAGATACATGTGCTCACTGTTCAGTAAAACAAAAGTACTACAGAACAACTAAGAAGCTGCATTCTACTTATTCGAAACAGTTTTTCCTTATTTCATTTGAAGCCAGAAGTAATTTTCCTTATGAAGTCCTAAGTCAGTTGAAATAAAAGCATAGCAAGCATGCAGTTCAGATTAACCAGTGTTAACTGAGCTACTGAGGGTGCTTTAGTTTCACTGCAGAGCGTCTTTTAAAAAATTACTATTTTCCTTTTCTAGGGGTTTTTCTCTCCAGAGAAAATAATGACTCCAGTTCTTTAACACCTTTATAAGCAGCTACATAAACAACACCACTTAGAGGAGGAAAGTACATGACAACTTTATACACTGCAAGTTTCCAAGTACAAAATTCAAATGCCTGCAATACTGATGAGCTTGAAACAGAAGTTGAATAATTTGCAAGTAAGGTAAGAAGACAAATGCCCACCTACATTTTACTAACTCTCAGCATAATATTTTGTTTAATAAACAGCTGTTTGCTTCACGGGAACTTTGTTTTGGTGTCGTTCTGTTTGGATTTTTGTTGTTGCTGGTTTTTTTACAAATTAAAAAGATATAATCTAGATGTGTACTTCCCTACCTTGATCTGTGCCAGTAATATTTCACTATGACACGTTTACTATGACAGCTCCATTGCATACTAATTAATGCTGTACTTCCCACTTGCAAAGGAGTATGGATTGCATTTAACTAAGATGAGCCAGCTGTGGGAGACAGCATCATGACAATATCCAGACTAACAATAGAAGATACTAATTTCAGTTCTATCTCCTACTGTATCAAGGAGGGGGAAAAAACCCAACAAAACAAGTCTAGCAGCTGAAAGTGCATCATCAGTGTTTCAAAACAGGAAGAAAAATAATCATGATAAATATCACTCTCTATATACAAATGCAAAAAGTACATTAGCACACAAAACAAAAGGGAAAACAGAAAACTAGTTGTTAATTCATGCCTACAAAACTGAAGACATGTTTCACCAGAAATCCTTCAAAAATTTAAATTATAATCCTAAAAAAGTGAGCATAAGTAGGCAATTACAAAAAGAGATGTGAAAAAAAATCTGAAGAAAGAATATAAAAGTAACAGAACAGAAATTATATAAGTATTTAAAGTAGAACACCTGAAAAATATGCTATGGGTCTAGCAAAGAAACAATTATGGTACATAAGCATATTGCAGAGAAATTAAAACTAATTACTTCAAGTGTTGAGTGTTTTGGATAGTTTTTTGTTTGATTTTGTTTTGTTGGGATGGAGATGATGCTGTTTGTCCATTTTAACTACAGGGACTATCTAGGTTTTTCTTCCCTAAACAGAGGTTAATTAATTCACAGACACAAGTTTCAGCAGAAGAATTCAAGTGTTAAAGGCCAGTAAATTGCCCAAAGGCAGTTGTATGTACTTAGAATTCTGAAAAACCCTCAACTACAAAAACAAACAAACAAAAACTCCAAAATCCCTCAGTCTCCCTAAATATTCTCCAGCTTGGCTTCTTTCTACGTTTGCCCAATTTATTTTCTACACTGTGCATCCCAGCATCCCATCGCAAGTCCAAGTGCAATGTCCTTAAAAATTCCTTCTACATATATGAGCAGAAGAATGGACAGAGAAATCATAGATCAAAAAATGACTGGTTGAAAATTTAAGTGTACTTAGTGATAAACACACATAGAAGATCATATGATACAATTTCTACAAATAATTACATTTCATTAGCATTTTGGATGTTTTTATTACTTCAGAAAAATAGAAGATAAAGGAGAACTGGCTAGCAATCTCTTAAAAACTTCAAAAAGTCTTTGATAAATAGTAAAAAAGATGAAACTGTGATCTCCTCCTTCAGGACTACAGAACGCAACAAGCAGATATCTCACACAGACTTTGCGGAGTTGGAGGAAAGGGCAAGTTCAATAGAAAAGAAAGTCATATACCATGGAAAAAAATTCTGAAAAATAGATTAGGCTTTTCTTTAATCTTAAAAAGGCAAACATATAAAGAGGAGTGTGGCAGAAAAGAATATACATTAATGATTAACAGAAGAATAGGAACACTGTTCTCTATCACAAGACACAAATATGGAAGACTTTGAGGTAAATACAAATATAGCAAATTCAAAAGTAATTACAAATTAAATAAATCAATCACAAACTACACAGCAATTGTGGTGTTAACTGCCAAAAAAACCTGCAGGTGGCTGGTGTTTTTTTTTTCTGTGGCATTTGTTTGACCTGTGCTGTTTGGATGTTTGCCTTGAATCTTCTCCCTCTGTCTCATTCACCTTCTTCAGCTAAGCTCAGTTCTGCAGCTGTCTGGGTCTTTCTTCTTGCCCTCACCACCACAAGCTTCTTTCTACTTTCATTTATTCCCTTCTTCCCTTCCCTGCTCCCTGGCATCTCTTCTCCTGCTCCAGGAAGGCAAACTTCACAGTGCTCGTTCTCTCTCTATGTTCTACTCTATTTACTATCTAAAATTCAAACTGAAAGAGAAGTTGCACTCGAGCTGCGCATTACAGTCTTCATTCAGTATTTGGAACATCAGAAGATATTTTCTGGCTGGCTTCAATCACTTAATAAATCACTTAATAAAAACAATCCACACTGCTCTTCATCTGGTTTTGTAGTTTGAGTAGAAGATCTGCAGCAGCTTCGTATCAAGAAGGTACAATTTAATTGCTTTTTAATTAGATTAAATTTAAACTCTTTTCACACTGTTAATTCCCAACCTGTTGAAGATGTTTATATTATTGCTTTATCAAGTCATTATAGCTGGGGCGGGGTGGGGCGGGGCAATGGCATGTATTTTTTGGCACAAGAAAAGCATCAGGCAAGACATTAGCCTAATTTTTCTGCCAAAGTCATCAACAATTTGATACATAAACTGTATTGTCCAAATAGCCTTTTGCCCTCAGAGTTCAAAAATAATTGAAATTAATGAATAATGGTTCATACATTAATCGTATGCACAGGCTATTTTTGAACAAAGACAACATTCCATTAGAATATAGTTGCTGATTATGCTTCCTTCCTAACCCTGAGGCCAAACCCCAGATTTCATAGCTGGCCAAAGCCCAAGAGAAAGAGAGAATCCTATAATCACAGATTTTAAGTTATCCATAGAGTTAAGATGTGAAGTTTATTATAAAAGAAACTGTATTTTTGCATCACTTAAAAGTTAACGAGCACTCCAACAGCTTACAGATAATAACTTTTCTATTCCACCTTCCTGGAAAAGACAGTCTAAGACAGTATGGCTTGAAAACAGAACAAAAGCATTTACTGTTACTTTAACATTAATTAGTGCAATGCTATCATTAACTAAGGAACTTAAATTAGGGTAACCCCCTTTGTGTGTTCCTGAATAGAGAAATATAGCTGCGGTATGCATATTTAGCTTAAGTGTCATTCTCAGGGACCTACACTTGGCCGAAGCCATCATCCTCATATAGCACCACTACTCAAACAAGTCTTCAAAGACTTATTTTGGATATCTTTTATCAAGTAATGGAAAATTAAATGAAATTCAAAATGAAAGGCATCCAGGCAATTCACCCAAGCGCTGGAGGACACACGCACGCACTTCACAACGTGCAAATATCCTGTCCTTTCTCAGTAATCTACAGTGAACTCCTACAGAACATACTTTGTTGTTTTTGAGATGCCACTGAAAGGCCGGTGGGATGTTATGATGCCAGGGTAGGGTGGTCTCTAGTTCCAGTTAGTAAAGTAGATGGGGAACGTGTACATCTTCCCCTCTCACTTCTATTGCCTTAATTCTATATACAAAGTACTGTGGCCCAGTGTAACAAGGAGCTTCCTGGTCCACCATTCTCCTTCACTTCCCTATTTCCACCTCAGTAGCTAGAAAGCTAATCCAGAATAAGTGGGTAAACTCAGCAGCAAAGGGTTGAGTTCAGCTTGAAATATATAAATACTAACATGACATGCTGCCAAAGTATTGCTGATAACAAATGCAGTGAGAAAGTAACTAAACAGAAATGGGAGTTGCATAGTAAAAAGAAACACTACCCCTGTGGTTTAAAATCCTTGTCCCTGATAAATTCCAAACACTGGCTTCAAACAGGGGTGATAAAAACACTTCTCAAAGGAGCCTACAAAAATTAAAAACTAAAGTGGGACAAAATCCAAGATTATTATTAGGACCTTCCACAGAAATAACCACCCTAGCCTAAGTAGGGCAAGACGATGTTTATCAATCCACAGATAAACAAGAGCTGGCACATCCCCATATTCTGCTGTAAAACACACCACATTTTCAATTATGAAACAAAATGTCTATATTTTAAGCTTTTCTTGCCCAATCAGACACCATAATCAACCCCATGGATGGCTGAAAATTAAACGAATAAATGTAATAGATACTTCATCACAAGAATTTGCTTTTAATTTCATTTTCAACTGGAGTTTTCATATGCTCTACTTATGAGGAAATTTTTGTTTTAAACTTACCTTTAGCATACTGCCTCATGCTTTCCATATAGGCAGAGAGATTTTCTGCAACCAATGTAACTAGGGCATGATTGTGCTGAAGTTGATTGATTAAGTCATGTCGGTAAAATACATGGGGACTTCGCTGAGTTTGACTGAAATTGAGATACAAAGTGTTACAAGAAAAGCAGAGAATTCTTGCACCTAACAGTTCAGAAATCAATTTAAGGAACTCATCTTTGACGCAAGTTCCAAACTTTCCTCAAAGATCTCTAACAGACTGTATATGAAGTTTTTGATTACTTTTTTCTTTGACACATCAACAGTTCTTACCAGTCATTAAAAGTAGTTAATTTATGAGGATTATACTGTCACAGTGTGTATGAAGAATACCAAAGCAAGCTGAAAAGCTGAGTATGCTGAAGAAAGAGTATCTGCAGCAAGAGAGGAACAGAAATACCTGCCCACAAACAAGAGACCCTCCACTGTGGTATAACTACAAGACGCATAACCAGTTTCTTCCACATTCACCTAATGCTCATTTCTAAATTTAATATTTTTTAAATTTTAAAACAATAGGTAAAACTAGGTCAATTTTAAAAATGAAAGCTCAGAGTCTTAAAACTATAGTTGAAGAACACTAGCAAATGATAGCACTAGTTCTTTCGATACTTCAAAAATCCTGCACAACTCTATATTTTTTTTTCTAACAATATCTGAAAAAACGCTGGTGGAAACAAACAAAAAAACAGTTATGCAGAGCCTATAGTCTTACGAAAAAACAGAGAAGTTCAATAAAGGAAATAACCAAATAAATAGTGAAATAATAATTTAAGTCTAATATCAAGAGCTGGCCAAAAATGCTGCTCTTAAACAATATTAGACATATTTAAATAACAAAAGTAAACTGCAAGAGAAAATAAAGAGCTTTGGTCCAAAATCCACACACCATGAACACAATCAAATTCTAGAGCTTAAGGGACGAATCACCCCTGCAGAACAGTCTTAGAATGCCTCAACTCCTGGAGACCGGAGCACTGACCTCAGCTGCAAAAAAAACCCCATAAAACTGAGCTGCTATTCCACAGTAAAGAGAGAAGAAAAAAACAAACCAAAAGACAGGGGTGGAGGTGGGAAGAGAGGTGCTCCTCATTGTACTGCTGTTCAAGCTGATCCCATACTCTGTCCTGAAGAAATACGTGATTTCAGACCTGTTCTTTCCCGCAACACTTAGGAAAGTAGGCTGCAGAATGAGCTGAATGGGTTACGGGTAGGAATCCTCATCCTTCCTAGGAAACAGGATCTCTACTACATGACCTGCAGCACCTTCTGAGTAGGAAAGGCAAAAAATCCCATTTCCAGCATCAGCTGATAATGCAGCTGACAACCACACTTCACAACAGATGTAACAACAACAGACAACTATTCATTAGGCCAAAGATCATTGTCAATCGGCGTTTAAGAGACAGAAGCCATGAACACCTTTCTAATAATTATTTGAAATCAACAGAATTCACCCTGCTAAGTACAGAGGTCTTCAGAAGATTAAATTTCATATTATGCAGAGCTTTCCAAAACAGCTTGAAAGAAGTACTTAAAACGCAGATTGTGTCTAAAAAAATCCATAACCAGACATTTGTCAGAGAGAAATCAAAATGGATGGAAGCATGAAGTAAGGAAACATACAAAACTTCATATATTCAGGAAGAACACCCTAATTTTTCACTCTTCAATTAGACTTCATTCCATCTCCACCAACCTTCCTTGCCCAGCATAAACCAGGAGGAAAAACACCAAAAGTTTGCATGTCTCTATTTTAGTGGCTACCCAAGATGTTGCCTCTAGATACACATCTACAGGGGATAAGAGTAAATAAGAATATTGACTATTTGGGAAAAAGATTTGATTAATCAATTAAAGGAATAGGCAGAAGCAAGGCATGGTATTTTGCGTCATCAAGCTATTGGAGTGTGTGTTTATATATCCATAATATTATGCATTTGCACCAACCTTAATATCACAAAAAAAGAAAAAAAAGCTTTATCTGCAGAAGACTAAATAAATCTCCTGCGCTAGACATTTTTTACTTTTCTCTTTTCTAAACCACATGCACAAACAGCAAATTTGGATGCGTGGATTCACCTTGGTTAGTAACTACTTACAAAAGTTGAGTAATTATAATAACTGGACTTATGAGCTTTAGTTGTGCGTTGTTACGTAGTAATTGTGACATTTAAGATGTTAACTAGGTCATCTGCTAGAATGGGGTCAAAGGGAAGAAGATTATCTTTTGGCACCAAAAAAAGTTAACAACAACTTTCTACCATGCTTTCTGGAACTTAAGCAAACTCCATGTGCAACTATGCAATTATTCTTTAAGCACCTAAGCTATATGATGATGTTGCCTTTGGGACATATTCCTGTAGTAATAGCTGAGGAGCACGAAAAATTGAAGGAAACAGCAGAACTCATCTTTTCATTGTGTTTCTACTAAATAGGTATCAAAAGCCAATGTATAAGAAGAAAAATTAGCATTGCAAAATGGATGTTAAAGTACTCTGGAAATACGAAAAACAACTTTTCATAGCTAGAACGCATGCTTGTTTACTAGAAAAATAGTGGCAAACTGACAAAGGCAAAATTCTGAATAACTTTAAATGTACTTAGAGAAAAAGAAAAGATTTAGGTGCACATATAACTTGCCCAACATTATACTGCGCAAGTAACTCAGCTTTTGAAGTTGAGTGCTCTTTGCTAGATGAACAAATACCACGTACCATTAAAAGCAGATATTAAAGGTCCAAATAGCAGTGACGCAAAATTCCAAATAACTTTAAATGTACTTAGAGAAAAAAAAAGATTTAGGTGCACATATAACTTGCCCAACATTATACTGCGCAAGTAACTCAGCTTTTGAAGTTGAGTGCTCTTTGCTAGATGAACAAATACCACGTACCATTAAAAGCAGATATTAAAGGTCCAAATAGCAGTGACTAAACCCAGTAAAATTTATATAGGCTAAAAAGTGATGTGAAACTAGCATCATTGTTTGCCTTAAAGCACTAAGGAACCCTCACACTCTTATAAAGGGTCCTCTTAATGCTCAGTTAATTCTTGTCGGCAAGCAATTTAGGAGACCAATCTTATATCATTGAGTAGATACAGGTCAAATTTAAGTGCTTGAAATTGGTCTATAGGAAGCTCTACCTCCATCCGCCAACACAAAGAAAACTAAGGTGATTAATTATCTGTAGACTAAAGGTCAATATGCTGTGTAATAAAGTTGACTATTCCTTAAGAAGCACCTTTGCACCTGGAAGAATTCTTGCACTTAAATAAGAATTATTTTATCATGCTGCTGCAGTTCTCATTAAGTTGAACTTCCCGAAACCTCGTGGTCAGGGAGTTCAGTTTTGCCAAAGCAAGTGTATCACCAAATAGTCGCTTTACTCAACTGCATGAGTAACTAGCAACAATCAAATCCTTATCAGAAGAAATTTGTACAGTGCCCATGGCATAATATAATTTATACTTATTTTTGCCAAGAGTCAGCAGGCTCAGTTGTTCTAGACCGAACTTATAATAGCCACTGCCAACCAACTGAATCACCCTAAAGGAGTAGTGCAGAGATTATGCATTAACGTTGCACTCCGAAAGCTCTGTGAAATGTTTTTGAGGCAGCTGTCACAAATGTCTGCTTTGATCCTTTTTCGATCCAAAATCTAGAACAATGTTAAGAGATTAAAATTTTAAGGTAGACAAGGTAAGCTGATAGGGTCCGGCATTGGATGTGTACGTTACAATTTTCAATCCATATCAATGTTAAGAGTTATCAGAAAACTCAGAGGACTTCAAAGTCACTGATTACTTCAAAATGATGTTTTCACTCACTAGGTTTCCTAGTCACTTGGGCAGTAATAGTAACTGACTAAAAAATTCCCTCAACAGTATCTTGCTAACAAAGGTTTCTCCATAGGAAGAGGTCTTTGTAAGTCCCTTGATTAAAACCTTCAATTCAAAAACTACTTTCCTGCTGTGTGTATTTTCAGATTCTACATAAAAACGAGGTATTATTACCACTGCAATTCAGACTTTCCTGAAATGTTAGGAATGGAAGAGATTGTCTGACAAAGGGGAGGAAGGAAATAAGATAGAGATAGTCAAGCCATCTAAATTTCCACAACCAAAAGAAATAAGGTTCCTCCCAAGATTAAACCTAATCAGTGCAGAAACCTAAGCAGGGCCTTGAACGAGCTCTGCTTCAACAACCACTTAAAGGAACACCTCTTTGTTAAGGCACTGTGCTAAAAAGCACTCACCTTAAACAACTACCACAAACAACCAGGTAGCTACGATCACCCAGATCTTACATCATGTATAAGATAAAGGACTCCAAGACACAGAACACAGATGCATTCACTAACAAGCAGGCAACTTTGTGACCTTGTTGGAAAAACCTCAAAAATTCATTAATCTGAAACTGCAAAGGATTAAAATGTCATGAAAATTGAGAAAGACGTTGCAAACTAAATGATTTAAGAAAGCTCCGAAAGCCAGAAATGCAATATTATCATAGCTTTTAAAACAGTATCAATAAGAAGCGTGCAAACTGAAGGCTCGTTTTCTTCAACTTTCCCTGTCTTGATCCTTTTTACAAGTAGCCTTTAATAGCAACACTGATTTGAATAGTTTACCTGCTTACAAGAATTGAAGCAAAGCAATTATGTAACATTGATAAGCAAACATGTTTTTCTAGAGTTTATAAAATATCTGATGTGGATACAAAAACTGCTAGGGGTGCAGAATTTCAGACATTTCTGTAGTGAGAGGACATTTAAAATAATGAAAACAAGCAAATATATTTCAAAAATCACTGTCTGTTTGGACTTGTTTGGGTTTTTTTTCTTCCTTTTAGAAACAAATAAAAACAAACCCCAGGATACAAAAAAAAAAATCAAAAAAACAGTAAAACCAACCCAATACATTTCTAATCTCTTCCATTCAGGAGACAGAATCATTAGAGTATTTTTCCCAAACAGAAAAAGTCACTTTTGATTTCAAGTGTATAAACTAGATAACCTGTATATATTTATACTTTTAACCTGTTAGGCAGGGAAGTCCACAGATAATAGAAAAATAACCCCCAATTTTCCACAAATCAAACTAGTCTTGTAAAAATTAATAAAAGCATGTTTGAGGAAACAGTTAATGCTTCCCTACTGAACCTAGGTGTTTGTATTTTTAGAGGTTACTTTCATATATGCTAAAATAAACTCAAGAACATCTTCAAACACAGGATATGATTTTATCTAAGCGTTCCCTGCTTCTTGTAAAAAACCTCATTCCAACCCATCTGACTTTTAACAGACAAAATTTTACTTGTGTTCCATCCTTACCTCAAGTTTTGTGGTGCTTCACCAAACAAACTGCAAATTTCTCTAATTTGTTTTAGTGCAGGAATGACCCATTTGTCATTTGTGCGAAGCTCTTCTATAAAACGATCTATCCACTGGATCTTTTGCGTATCTCGATCCTTAAAGAACAAGTATTTATAATCAAAATCAAGTATGGTGCAGAAACTACCACCATTCCCTTACTTTCTAAGGTAGAATAGGGCATACAAAGCCACACAAATACTAGACCAACTGATTTTGGTCTGTGCTCAAAGTATTTGAGCAGCACTACATGTTGGCAGACGCAATCAGTGTGTTACAAACTCTCTGCCTTCAAGCACTTAAGCATTCGGTACATATTTAAGAAAACCTAGATGCAGCTAGAGAGGATCATCAGTGTTTAACTAATTTGTACTTTCCCATTTTTCATTTATTTCTACTCACTGGTACTCAGAGTAAACTGCTATAAAAATGATAAAATGTTCCTTAGAAACTAAAAAAACACCACCAGTGGCTGTCAAGACAGATAAATGGATTAATTTTGAACCATAATGAATTATCATTTTGGCAGACTTCCACAGAAGTTGCGGTGGGGAAAAGAGAGTATGTAATAGTTTTCATTGTCCTTTGCTAGGTTCTTTCTAATACTACCCGAGACATGTAAGGACTTACTGAAAAACCAAAACAACAGTCAAACTTAGCATAATCAAATTGGGTGAAAAAAGCAAAGACAGGAGGGGGGCTTCTTGTCCTTCCTCCCTATTTACTTTGGTAGGGTTCTTTTCCAATTCCTCCAAAGTGCTCATGACAGTATGTCACCGACTGCAAGACGACGGGTAAACTCACATATTTTACTCTACCTGGATGTTGGTAGAATAATAAAAATCTAATGTAAGGAACATTTTTGTTAAATTACCAAATACCTTGCATTTTTCATGGAGGATAGAAGGAAACTGCCAGTGACTGATTTCACAATAAAACATACCAGATTGCTCACCTGTGAACAGCTGTAATCTAAAATTTTAATATGGGCACTAAGAGCCTGGTCCATGATATCAACTGGTACATCATCGCTATGAGCCAAATTCCACAAGAGGTTCAGCACTTTGTGTGCCATCACACCATCCTTGTCATCCTCTGCAAGACGACGAATTAACTCAAGTAGTTTTTCACGCTGTTTCTTGCTTGCATTTGTCCAGCTTGCCTAAGAAAATATTTTATTTGGCATGAAAACTTTTTAAAATCCCACACATAACCTGCACTGTTAATGAATGATGCAACTACATAAAAAGTTTTTTTATGTAATTTCTTTCATTAAAAATAAATACCACATTAAATCAATACACGTCAGACACAACTGAATAGCTCTTCCAGTGTTTACATCTAAAGTGTATTCGACTTCAGACTTGAAAAAAAAAAAATTTCAATAAAGGTCAGAGATGTGAAACATTACTTCATATCCATATGAATATTTAGTTTGGTATCTGGATTACAGAACATCAGACTCATATTCAACCAACTAGAAACCATCCATTAATCAGAGTATAAACTGCATGTAAATTAAAACATGTCTACAACAAATTTTTCTAAAAATAGATTCTACAAAGCTGGCTTACACTTCTAGTACAGCAGCTAATGTCTTAAAATAGTAAAAACAAGCCAGGCAGCACCTGGAAGCTGCAAGTGCTAATATTAGCATACGTAGAAAGACAGCAAATAATATCAAGTTTCAGAAACAAGCTCTTTCATGATTTTGATCAAATCATTTTATGTTTATAAATATTCAACCTGATCTTCCTGAGACTGTTTTGTTCTGTATCTATGTTACCCAGAGAAAAATCATTACATGATAGAGAGGAAGTTGGGGAAGTGGTGAAGGGAAGTCCTTGATCTCCTCTACTTAAAATGCCTGGTAAACTTGACAAAATCTACTCTAATGCTAGGAGAAAAACATTATTTAGTAAAATCACCAACACCTACTTATTTGGAACAAATGCAAGAAGGTATTCAAGACACCTTTTAAAGAAAATTCAATATTTCTAGGATCGTTAAACATCATTATAATACCAGAGACCTCAACAGACATGCATTACTCAAAAGCATTTAAACCAGAAAACAAAACCATCAATTAAACAAGCATCACTAGCCTCTGCATTAGACAGGAAGCAAATAAAAATATCTCAAAATGAATGCTTCACTAATGAATAACACAATCTAGCATTTCTAATATTAAATATTAGACCATTGCTACACATTTAAGAAGTCTTTTAACACGATGAAACTGTCTGTATCTGAAACAAGCAAAAAGGTGATGTCTGAAGAGTCAGAAATCTGTATCCAACTTCTCAACCTATTTCCTCAATACAGTCAAAACATGTATAGTTACCTTAAAACAATCAAACAGGTGATCAAGCTGTTCAGGAGAAAAATCCCAAGCTAGTTTTGCAAGGAGATCATGTACATTTTTTACAATAGCTTCATGTTTTCCCGCCTGTCAAGAAGACAAAAAGAATCCATCAACACTTGTAGCAATCCACGTTAAGTCAGTCAGCAAGACATCCTGCATCATTTTTACAAGAAGACTGTTTGAGATGGCCAGCAAGGCTGGTGGCAGGAGCGTGGCAAACTAAATACTTACTTCACTGGGAAGTCACGATATTTAGATCTTCCTTGTATATGTAAGTATTTAAGTGTGCTCTCTGCATGTGCACCCAAGTGGTTATTAAGAATATAAATACTACAGCACTACAATATATTTTATTTTTAAGAAAGTCATGCTGGGACAGTAGACAATAAAGTCTAGAAAGGTATTTTAATTTACACATCAGTATTTTAATGTAGTTTTGTTTCTGGTTTGTTTTTTTTTTTTTATAGAAAGGATTTAAAATCCATTTCCTGAAGGTATTTCACTGAGGTTCTTCTAAGCTGTAAAACAAGTTTTCCTATTTCCATCTAGTTTCTCAGTTTGAAGTACTGCCTTTGTGCTAGTGGAGTCATGGACAATCAAAGCTTTCTACTACAAAAAACTTGTTGACAGAGAATATTTTAAAGTCCAGCAGCTTACAAACTTATGAAGTTTAGAAGTCAAACAACTAATGGCAAGATGTCAATGGCAAGTTATATACTAGGCCCAGATTTAAATAAGAGTTTGGTGTCTATCACAGTTTTGACATTTAAGGAGGAAGACAACAGGAAAAACCATCTAGCTCAATTTTAACTCTGAAAGAGATGAAAATTTCCTCCTACATGCCACGCTGGAAAATGCATTCTGTCAGTTTGAATCTGCACCCAAACCCTACTATTTTGGAGTATGTGAATCAATAGCTGATTTACTGTAAAAATTTCCTGTAAGTGTAGAACCAAAAATGCAAAACAAAGACTTCTAAAACAAACACTGATGTAATTAATCTTGTACAGTATTAAAAATGCATGCATGAGCACTTTTGAAATTAATTTCCTTCTAAAAGCTTGCATCAGTAGTTCACTTAAAAACAAAACAAAAAGATACCAACAGTTTTCCTATACGCCGTATCATAAATTCTTTATATTGTGCCATAAATTTTTCTTTTAAAAAAAGTGACATATTCATGTTATGGGTCACATTATGAGAGAGGGAATTACTAAACTACTTATTCCACTTGATTTTGCCAAACATTGTAAAATTTCTCTTACCAGACCATCTCCTGGATAGAAAGAAAAACCAAGAGCATACAGGGCACAAATGTGCATCTACAATATAACAAACAAAAGGAGAAGTATGCAGAGCTGCTGGGGAAGGCAGGGCTGGAAGGCCAGGGAAGCAATACAAGACAGGAGAAGGAAGGAGAAGGAACCTGGTGTGTGACCCGTCAGCTTGCTGTGCAGAACCAGGGAAGCATCTGTAAAATTCTAGTTAAAATGCTCCAGAATGCAAGTGATGAGATTCCAACACCCATCTCTGCAATTTTATTTCTTGTCCAGCTGGATCGTTCCCTGCAACTCACCAGATTGCACCTTAATGCTTGCTTTTAGAGACTTCCAACATTACTGCCTGAATCAAATATACTGCTATTTTGCAAGCACTCACTTTGTAAGACATGAAAACACTTCAATATTTATGTTGCTTTTTAAAGGCAAAAGCAGTATGATTTTTTCACTTTTCATAAACTACTTATTTTATTCTAGTTGTACATTACGATTATCAGGGCACTTCAACTACAAAGTCGTGTCCTAGGCAGCAGCATAACATAACATAACCTGGGCTGCAACCTAACAGCTCTAGCCTGAAAGGAAGACCACACTGCTGCACTGAGCCAGAGCTAAAATAGTCACCTGTTATATAAAGCTACACAGTAAATCAACTCCTCACTACTGAATTTCATGCTCCAGCTGCTCTTAGAAGCAGTCATTTAACGAGCTACTCAAACACAGGCAGTAGCGAAGTTGGTAAAAAGCATTCTGCAGTAGGAGATTTTGGTATTCTTACCTTTTAGTCTATGTTTCCATGGCCAAAGCCACAGTGAAAATGTCTAACCCCGAATAACAGCGAATTCGACTTTCATATGCACAAAAAACCCCAAACAACCCAGGACAAAACTGCAGCAAGCACACTAGCAACTAACTAACTGAAAGCATAAGTGAGCAGAATAAACCAGATATCTGAGAGCACAGGACACTTAATTTTTTTTCGCAACTGTTGGACTATCCCTGTCTTTTAAGGGTTGCACCACTTGTTCACACTTTTCTGGAAGCATAGAAAGTTCAGTTTAAACTAGTTTATTCATGCATCCCGTTTCAAGGCATTATTACTAATATAATTCATTGTAAGACTTATTTCCAAATTTCAGATTTATTTCTTTTTTTTCCATATAAAAGGTGAGGCTCTAATATTGCTAAAGTAAGACTAGTAACAGCAAATTAACTTCTCAAAAGTCTTTTTTTTCTCCATAGACTTCTTACAAACAGAGTCGGGAAAGGCCTACAGACCACAGGCTGAAAACTAACAGCACGATCACAGATCTTAATTCAAGTAATCTATGTATTTGCTCCATTACACAATGTAATTTTCAAAATAGAACTTAGCGATAACAAGGAAATAAAGACTTCCTTGAGTTGCAGCCTGCACAGTTACTATCATCCTGGAATTGAAGATTATGAAGTTAGCTGAAACACCAGAGATCTGAAGTCAGTCCTCCACTACATCTCCTGGAGTTCCGACTGCTTTAAATGTAACCTGAAAACAGCACGCCTGGAAACAGGGAAGCCTGCATAAATCCACTTAAGGCAAACTTACAGTTTCAGAAGAGTATAAACACACATATACTAGGGATATAGTACTACCGAATTCCTGTATTAGCTCTTGTCATGGTACAACCCCAGCTGGCAACTAAGCACCACACAGCTGCTTGCTCACTCTCCACCCCACAGCGGAAAAGGGGTAAGCGAGAAAAGGTGTAAGCGAGAAGACACGCAGGTTGAGTTAAAGGAGTTTAACAAGGCAGATCTTTTGCTTTACCTACATAGCCCTGTATCAACTACTATGAAGGAACTTAGCTCTATCCCTGCCAAAACCAGTGGAGGTTTCCATCTTGGAAACCAAATTTAGCCTTCCCACACTTAAAAGATCAGCCTACAGGCTTACTTGTACAATTAAGTTAGAGTTCCACTAGCAATTAACTTATGAACAAGGATATATGTACTGACGCTTGCTTGTATCCTAAAAGAGCCTTTTATTTTCTGTTTAATCAATAATTAATAATGATTTTGTCTCTTCAGCTGCCCTTTATGTGTGCTATACTCATCCACCCACAGCTAGAAAGCCCAGCTTCAACAATCATTTAAGTAAACAAGCCAATACCGCAAAATTTGTATTTCTTCAAAAATAATATTCGCAACACAAAGGGAAGAATTTGGTTGCTAAATAACTTCTAGGTCAGTCATTATTATAGGCCTTCCTAACAGCGCTCTGTTCAAGAAATATTTATACAACTGTGGTGAACCTGGAGATTAGTGATACATATTCCTCATGTATTTTAAAATTACTGAGTCATAAAGCACCACGTTCTTTCATAATTTAGACTTTGCGCAAAGTTGGGGTTCCTTAGTACTCGATAAGGATCACCTTTGTACCATGTTCTGAACTGGTCCTTTAGGCCTCAAATCCATGTGTAACTGACCCCTTATACAGAAGACGTTTAAGGAGACAATTCTGAGATCCAGAACCCCATAAAAGAACACCTCTTGGTTTTAAGATTTTCTTTAGTTTTGTCTAACACCAAGCCTAAGAAGTGTAAGTCGTCATCTTCTCAATACATGACATACAACAAGATCCCTTCTGCACAGCAGAAGATAAACAACTGAGTTCTTTACCTGTGCAGCCCAAATGTTGTCAAGATCCTGCAAAGTGAGGGCTTTTTCTTTGATGACAAAACGAAGAATTTTTTCTAGCTTCTCTACATACTGAGGTTGATGAAGACTATCTCTCAACACAATTGACAAAATATTGTTCTGCTGGATCCATTCCTGAATACAAAAAGAAAGTAGTGCATCTCAAATTACTGAAGTGCTGCCACTGATATTTAAGCTAAAAAGAAAAATTTCAACCTGTTACCAGTTAATAACTCTATATACAACATTCTAATTGGGAGAAATAAGGAAGATGCAGCACAACAGGAAGGTATTTCTGATGAATTTCCTTATTTTTTTTTTAAATGACCATTTAAATAATCTAACATGCTAGCCACTTCAATATCTTAAGGGGAATAATTTTTTTCCAGGCATATTAAAATCATGAACTCAAAGCATAAAAATGTTCAAACAACTTCAAACACAAAAAGCCAACAAAAAGAATAGTTATTGCTTCTATTCAAGGAACAATTTTTTTCTCTTCCAATTCACAGTCATTAAATATCAAAACCACATTGTTTATGACCCTTCTAGCTTTAACTGGTATGCCCAGAGCATTATCACGTAAAAAGGGCACAAGCAAGGACTGAAAGCTAAAAAGGTTAGATGATTTAAGTACTGACACTTAAAAGTTTTTTTAAATGCCTCTAAATGAATTACAGGCAAAAAATTCAACTCATATTTAAGTAGATGCACCTTTTTTCAGTAGTGTCATTGACACAGTCAAACTAGAGTTCTATATAGTTTTTTATTCTGACTGAAGCAAAGCAGAGTGTGCTTTGAGCACTGAAGAACACAAACGTACACCACATTGTATCTTCCCAGTGTCCTTGATTACACACTTAAAATATTCAAGCTAGACTCACAAAACACTTAAATCTGGAAGTTTTCATTTAAAAACCCAGGTGTTGTCTGAGATGGCAAACTACAGGGAGTATATAATACAGAGACAGATTTCCTCCTATTGCCTTCAAGAGTCAAACTGCAATCATTCTTTTTTTGTCAGCAGTTCTTCTGCAGATTATAACCCTCACAACATGTAGCCAGTCACAAAGATGGGGCAGAACAGTGCAAAAATCACTTAACACAATTCACATAGATGAAAACTGTCCTTTAATTTTATAAATACTCATTTTAATAGAATACTCATTTAACCATAGAATGGCCTAGGCTGGAAGGGACCTCAGAGACCACTTTAATCCAGTCTCCCTGTCGCCAGGGACGCCACCTCTCAACTAGATCAGGCAACACGTGGGGACTGAATGGGATGCACACTCAAGCATCTAACGGTAGTAGTTACAGTATGTAAATATTAAATAAATTAAAATGTGATACGTAAAACTTTCTGTACCAATGAATGTAGCCTGTGAAATCTGAAAAACTGAGAACTTAGAAGTCTCATGAGAAATAATTACTTGAAGCACAAGAAATGGACTAGATCCTTATTCAGATGATGTACATTCAATTTTTAGGTACAGTGGGATGAAGTATCAAACAAATCACACGTTTTATCTATGTGGTTGGTTTTTATAAACACTAGATAAAAACATACCTTTCAAGGACCCCCTTTTAAAGCATGTTTTTAGCAGCACTGAATACAATTCTCAACAGCAGCTTTGAAATAAATACAGCAAATTTTCACAGAAAGACTACTATTAAAATGACCTATTGTCATGACATGATCCTTACTATTTATAACACTAGATATGAAAATTAGCAGTGTGTGCAGGATCCATAGTATTTAAGTACTTCTACAACTAAAGCAATTAGGAAGAAGAAAATCTGTTCAACGTATCTTGGTGAACAGAACTTACTGCCATTCTTTCAGCTGTAAGCCACTCTTCCTCTTCAGGATTACCATGCCGATGAGTATAATATGACACACTGGATATTACTTTGTTAACTTCATTTAGTGCATTCATTTTACCATTGAAAGAAGAAATTTGTAACAACCTGTAACAGAAATCAAATGTAAGAAGTATAGAAAAGAAGTCAGAAGTGGAGTATCATATTCGGAGTAGTACCTTACCTAAGTATCATTTTTAACCTAAATATTTCTAAGTTTTTTACAGTTTCTTCTTGTCCTGGAACTCTTGAAGCTAAGTTCTTTAGAGATTTGATTATCATTGACAGAGCATCATTTTTGGCTTCATTCTTTGCTTCCTTTTTCAGTTCATCATCTGTTAAATTTTCTAAAAATTGCGGAACCATTTCTATAATTGGAAGGAAATATTTCTTCACTGTATGCAATGTTAGAAATTCGTAACATTGTCCAAATGGCCTAAAAAGAAAGAAAAAAGGGATCAAAGTGCCATAATTAGTAGTTGTGTGTGATTAAGTTAGTAAGGAGCAATTAATACAACAAACTCAAGTCTATTTACAAGCACATGAAACGCTGACGGTAAGGTAAGAGACAGACTGAGCACAAGTACCTCAAGAGAAAACTAAGCTTTGTGCTAACACAGCATTTTCTGTAGTCCAACTTGTCTATTTATAAGCACATGAAATGCTGAAGGTAAACACAACTGGTAAGAGATAGACTGAGCACAAGTACCTCAAGAGAAAACTAAGCTTTGTGCTAACACAGCATTTTCTGTAGTCCAACTTTTTGAAATATGTAATTATTTTTTTAAAACAACTTACTTGATGAGAGCCGCAATTATCTGAACATTCAATGCTGATCCACTCATGAAGCGATCGTGCAAGATCTGGAATCCGTTTAACGTGCCAAACTTGTTGATGAGATCTACTAGCCAACCCTGCAATATAATAATTATTTTCTGACATTTCATGTGAAAAAGCAGATGATGTATATTAATTATTCAAAGAATTTTATCAAACATATACAAATCAAAATAACTATACTTAAGGTTCATCTTTGGCTGCTAAGTTACTAGAGAAAGCACGACAATTCTGATACTTTTTTCAGGTCCTGCACATAAAAGTAGTAAGAATGCAAAATAACATTCTTTAAATATGGTTAGCAATGCAAAGAAGTCTAAGGACAGAGAGTTATTTATCTTTAGTTCTTACTTATCAATAGCTAACAGTTCCACTAAAATAAAAAATAAAATAAAAAAAAAAAACAAAGAAAGGAACAAAACCATAATTTGCTTAGCTCCTGAGGTTGTACCAATGCCACTTGGAGCACAATCATGAAAAACTCAAATGCAAGAATCAGAACAGATTACTAAACTGCATGGCCAGTTCAAAATACCTCACCAATCCCACCCCTAAAAAAAAAAAAAAAATAATCTCCAAACCTCAAACCAGAAAAGCTCATCAGCTCCAAAAAACCCCACTACACCCCCCCAAAAAAACAAACCAACCAACCAAACCCCAAAACCACACTGACACTAGCATTCCATGTCCTATTAAAAACATTTCTCAGATCATTGAGAATGATAAGAAAAGGAAAACCCTCACTTTAATACTTAATCTCCTCTTCAAAACATGTCACCTACAAAATCACGTTGAGTGAGGAGGCAAATCCATCAACTGACAAATACAGGCAAGCCAATTAACACAGTAGAATGGCATTCCAATTGAATTGTGGCAGCTTATCACAGAAACACATGACACAGTTTGATTGTGGAGCAAAGACCAAAAGAGTTAGAAGAGGAAATTTAACCAATCATGCTTTAACGTACAAGCCAAAGCAGAACATCTTAGTGATACAGAGAACGAAGGTGTTTTGGTTTTTTTCCCCCCCTCTAAAAACACTTCTCAAAGGCTACAGTAAAATTAGATAACACTGCATAAAACTGAAAATATAGGTCTGAAAATGTTCTCATACCTTTGGTGATCGTGGGTCAGGAGGACGGGCATAAAGTTCATCTTCAGCGAGCTGGACTCCTGCAGGAACTGTTTCCGAGGGACGAGTACCATTGTATAGATGGAATTTGCAGTGAGGATTTAAGGCCATGGCAAGAAGTTCAAGAAGGGGAAACCAATCTTGGGACAGCTTAGCCACACAGAGTTCCACTAGCCGATGAGTGTTGTTAATAATACATCTCTATTACAAAAAAAAACAAACCACAACAACCAAGAATGACAGCTGACTGTATGATAAGTATGAACTATAAACTCTGAGCCATCTGTGCATGCAGAATTGCATAAGAGTTTTACAACGTTGTATTTTAGTTTGTACTTCCTTCAATAAATGCTTTAAACAATCTTTAAACCAGGAAGAAGACACAAATATTTTTGGTTGAGACATTCATCACGAATCACCACTGAACTATTAACTTTTCCTCTTTTTCACCACTTCTCTCACAGATTTTAATCTGCTTATGAAGATCTTCACAATTTCTCATTTGGCATGTGACTAGCTGTCCAACAAGTAGTTTTTATACTCAAAACAGCTGCTACAAGCATTCAGAAATTAGCAGGTTGCTAAAAATTTTTACTAAAAATGCAAGCTTTCATGTTCTAGCACACACATAAAAATAAGCAGGTATCTAGATATCTGGCCAAAGACAGCCTAACAAAAGCAGCACTATGGAGCATAAAAAGTTTAGTTCTTCCCCATATCATCTCTCATTGTTTTATTTCCTTGCAAAAACAACTCAGGCAATAAGATGCAACCATGATAGAAGGATGACTTCCCCCACCCCTGCCAAGAGCCATGTATACACGAGTCCTCCCAGCTCTCTACTGAGACGAGTTTCAAAAACGAGATTTAGTCTCAGCAGTCTCCTCATAGGCACAAATGCAGTCTCCTTCCTCATTTCAATTAATATGCTTTTCAAAACACAAACTCACATGAATCTCAAACTTCCAGCCACTCACTGCCTCATCTGTAAGGATTTTTGTGAAAGATATTGTTAACCCATCTCGAAAAAATCGCTGGCATGCTTCACTTTTGACATCAAGGCCTATTTTAAAAAAGAAAACAAACAATGAGATATGCAATATCATTAATTTACATGAACTTTAAAATATTAGAAGTAGTGATTTAGACTTCAAAGATTTGGCGTTCAAAGTTTCCTAATTCTTTTTAAAAAGAGAAGCCTTGGATGAGGATTGAATGCATAAAAACCCTGTAGACAAATGTTCTAGTAAATCCACCTCAAAAATTGCACTCCCTTTGATGATTTTCAAATTATTTTACAAATACGTGATAGGAGTCTTTTTCCCCACACTTGTAACACTCAAAGATATAAGAGCAAAAATAACAGTATCATCTTTAATTCATTCCTCCATTCTTCTGGTAAACATGCATTTACGTTCTCTTTTATTTAGCTGCTACCAGTAAAACTCAGTGAGTGAAGAGGAGAAAGGGTTAGACCTGCTCAGCTTCCCAGACACAATGAATCTGCAAAAATAAACACATATCCTTCTGTCTCTCACCCTCATTTGAAGCAGTTTCTTGTAACTCTGCTGCCAAGACCCAACATACCTAGACCCCAATAATGTCATAAACCTTTGCAGCCACCATATGTTCCATTTAAGATTAAAGAATAGTGCTTTGTTACTTTTCTTTTAGCTATTTCAGAACTCTGAAGATACAAATAACCCAGTATTTCAAGAAATCTGTATTTCCCCTTCAAAAGTTCAGTTTAAAAGGATCTAAATAGGGCTAAAATTCAACATAGAAATATACTGAATATGTATCAGTACACACCGGAAACAATGAAAGCCATGAGGCATATTAAAAAAGAAAACTGTAACCTGCCTTTACAAAAAAAGCTTCATTTTCAGTCAGGAGACCCTAGCATTCAGCAAGCCAACGGTGTCCAGATTCACAAAAATTACTGCCACACTCCCTCCGCAACCTCCTTGATGAGACATCCTGACACTAACTTCCACTGCTTTGGGAACGATTGATTTGTGTTATCACATTAAAGGTCCTCATAGTCAAAATCAACTGTACAACAGAGGTTCCTTTCCGAACTGGTCACAGAACATCTGCCCTGTTTGTTAGTATATACCACAGAGGCTTTCCAAACTATTGTAACAGGCCTTGCAAGCTGGTGGGAGCAGCTCTCAAGCAACTTGAGTAAAGCAGGAATCTTTGGAGAGCCCACGTCACCTCCTTGAAAACTACTCCAGTGTTCCTCTTTTTTATCACTACTAGAGGTACATGATATACACTATGTGATCAAGTACATAAAAACTTTCCTGTGCAGCTTGCAGTCTATACAGCTGACATCCCTACATGATACAGTAAGTAAAACTGGTAACAAAAAGCCACAAGCCACAGTAATGGCAACATGACAACAGCAGGAAAAAAAAAGGACAGTGTCTAAAACATAGGCATTGGCAGTAAACAAACAACTTGTTAAATTAACTCCTCAAAGAGGTAAAGATGACAACTTCACCCTACACAAAATAGGGTGCAGAGAAGGCATCCCATGTGGTCAATCTGAACCCAAAAGTAACAAGTGAATTTAAAATACAAATTTGAAGCAGGCATTCAAGTGATTTAATCCTCCTCAGAGTACCAGTATACTGCATGGAACTCTCTCTCAAACTCACAAGTACTTCTTGAACCATCTCCCCTACACAACAGTTGGCCAGCTTCAGTCAGCAAGACATTTCAAACCAAGTTCGGGAATACTAAAACAGAGCACATTTCACAATACATTGTCCCTTCTGTACTTCACTGAACTAGGGAAAAAGGGAACACGTAGAACCTTAGAAGACACCTGTATGATTTCTAGATATACAGTCACCTTCTACCTTCTCCCACAATGTTGCATTCTGCTGAAACAACAGATGACACTCTATGGAAGGAACAAAGGCTAGGTGTCTGCAAGCTCCAGTTATCATCAAAAGCAGGGTACAAGAATCCTAGAAGACAGCAGGTTCGGAAAGAAAGGAAAAGCAATCCCAATATAAAGAGAAGAAAAACTGCAATTACACCAGACACCTGGCATCTACTGCTTAAATCAAATTCAGTATCACTAACTCTTAAGCAAGAACACAAGCTGCCATTTTTCTCCCTGTTGCCCCAATTCTAAGGGCAGGGAAGGATAAGGAAGAATACAAGAGGGAAGTGCATGTGGTCCTGAGCTAAGTATTTAGGAAAAAAAGTTGGAGAAATGGTTTATGCAGTGAGAAAAAAGTGAATATGAAAGGAAAAGGTGATGTACAACATCCAGGATACAGGAGGTATAAGTAGGGGACTGGAAGAACAGAGTGCCATTCGATTTCTGCACTAATGCTTAAAAGTGGTCTACTTGCCAGATAAACACTGTCACAAGAGCAGAAACATCCTGGCTCCACAAAACTAATCTGTACAGATAAAACTGGACAAATACGAAGAAACTCTTATGCATATAAGGGGTATACAACAGTACACGGTCAGAGCACAGAAGCCCCAAGCAATATCAGCCAGCTCCTCTTCCCCAAGATTTTGGACTATGCAACTTTATAGCTGCAACCCCAGAGCTGAGCTGGTTCCACACAGCAGTGTCGTGTCAGTGAAGCCCCCATCAGACGTGGGCCTCAGGAAGTGCAACACAAACCTTTCAGTGGTCTGGCAAGGGCTAACACTGACCAGGAGCACACACGGTACTCTTGATTCTGGCAGACTTTCAATAATTCTTAATCATCAGGAGAACGAGAGTCTTTTATACCACGATACTGCAGCAGACCCTGCTGTAGTTTCTCTCAGTTGGTTCTAGTCCAATTTCTCTCAATGTCTCAATTTCAATTTCTCTCAGTTAGTTCTAGTCCAATTATTTGGCTACAAAACCCTGGAATACAACAACCTGCTGTCTCTTTTTTAGACAGATGCCTAAAAATAATGATTTCAAGAAAACACGGAAGATAAATCTTCAGCAAGCAACCCAAAGAGCGGTCCTGCAGAGATGCATATGGATCATCCAGTGAGAGATGGTCTGTAGAAAGATGGAAACAACTCCCACTGTTGGGTTGCCTGGGTTTTGGAAGGATGTGTGCTCATACACACACACACATACCATTTTTCTTTTTTGCAGGATCTAGGGCCTGCCTCTTTTCTCTTTCCCACTCTGTAAGCCTTTGTAATTCAGCAAAAATTAAGATCTGAGATGAAGGTTGAAGGTTTAAGTTATGCAATGAAATCTCATTTCAGTTAAGTAAGCTAAAATCTAAAAGTTGCCTTGCATCTTACTTGTGTTTAATACCAGAAAGTTTTGGCAGCACACTAAAAACTGAATGCAAGCATTGGGTAAGGTAAGGCAGTGCAGAGTTGTTGAGGGGACTCTGAAAGAGAAGAGAGTATTCTAGCCCATAAAAAACTAAAAACTGAAACCAAACCAATTGGTTTTACTTCTAATGTATTGGCATTCAACTCACTATTACAATTATTTCTGGGACGAATCTCATTACTCAAAACACTCTTAAGTATTCCAGAATTATTATGAAGATAAACATCACTCTTGCTATTAAACACTATTTTTCAAACAGGTTTTCTATTAGCAAGTAACTCTAGACTATCATTTAATAGTGTCACGGCTTGCTTAATGAAGAATAATACACTGATGCCCACAGATAAAAACATAATCTTCCATAAATAAATGCATCTGCCAGGAATAATACAAGTCACAGTCTAGACAGGATTTGTACTACTCTTGTCAAATTTGTTCCTTGCATATGAAGGTGGTAACGATGATATTTAATTCTTACAAGTACTTTCAGTTCAGTTATGTCACTTTCAGTCTCAGTTCCTGAAAAGATTTAAAAACGATGCAAATATCACTCTTATTTTATAGACAGGGTTACAAAGACAGCAGTTATCTTGGAGTCACTCCAGAATGACGATGGCCATTGGCAATGTCAGGAATAAAAGCTACTTAAGAACCCTAACACTAGGAAATGGTCCTTGATAAAGAACTTCGTGAAGCAACAAAACCTAAAAAGAGCCCACTAATCTAAACTAGTTACTGACTGCAGTATCATATGTATGTAATTCAACAGCTGGTTATTTTTGCATTTCCTTTTTCAGTTGTTCCCTTTTGAAACAGAACTCCTCAGATGAAGAAAAATGCCCACAGACAGGTAGCAAGTTGTCTTAATTTTAGATCTCACTGAGATAATGTACACAACAGAATAATTTATTACCTCTCTGTATATACACAGCCCTGAAACAGTGTTTGCCCAGTCCTGAGCCACCAACACAGTGCCAGTTACACCAAGTGAGCAACCTACTGTTTGCCTTGAGTACTGGAAGTTATTTAAGAAAGAACCTTCTTAGCTATCATGTAACTTCAAGTAGCGAGGAAAAAAAATAATATAGCATAGAAGTGTAAAGATAACACAGTTAAAACAACTACTTCTACCAGCTTTCCTTATTTTCTCCTTAGCCAATAATCCTTGCATACTTACACACACAGGAACTTATCTAGAGGACAAAAGAATAACCAGATAACAACGCAGACAACCTTTTCAGAATTGGAAATCAACAACTTAACAAAAATCAAAGTGCATAAAGCATATAAACAGATTTCCACTGTTCTCACAACTTCAAAACGAAAAAGAAAAGACTGTTTGCGAACTTTCAACGAAGTCTGACACTTTGGAGAGAAACACTGATATTAGGAGTAGCTAAAAATCTCATTCTGCTCTTATTACTAACTGAATTGATAGTTCTTATGGTGTTTTGTTGATTTTTTTGTTTGTTTCTGTTTTTAAAGATGACTTAACAGCTGGGAGCACATACCCCTCCTCTCATAGAAATCACAAGCAAAGAATTTCTTTTTATTGCACTGTTCCAATGGCCCAGACACAGACGGCTGCATTTTCTTTCCATACACTGGCATTTCTTTTGCCCCTGTACAGCTGCAATCACCACCTTAGGACTCCTGCCAGACCTAGCTACACGCAAAGAAGCCAATTCCAAGTGCAGCTACGACTGATAAATCAGTGTTGGCAACAACGTGTCATTACCCTGTTTTGGATCACAAGGGTGCACAGTAACTTTTGTTTCTCCACAGAGCACTCCAAAGCAAAGAAGATTTACAGAAAAGAAACAAGATAACCCAGAATATCATGACCACAAGCAACTTCTTATTCTTAAAACTGACTAAGAATAACCCTTATTAACAAGGAAATGAAGCTGTCTTGGTTCAGTTCTGCAAAAATAAGGAATAGGCACTTTCTGTGTCACTGTACCTACAACACAACTAGCTGGTATGTGTACATACCCTAGAAAGATACTTTTATCTGACTTTTGGTATTACTCAAACACTGGGGCAACAAATAGTGACTATAACAGGAGACAACAGCAACTTTTGAGGAGAACAGAACCTTCCAGAACACATGATGAACTCATCAACCTGACTAGTACAATTTAACAAACACAGACAGAGTCCTGACATGGAACCTTCCAAACTCCAAGCAAGTCAGACACAGCAAGCAGTAAGGTAGAGTTATTAGTCTCAAGTCCTGCTGTTTAAAATTCTAACCTTTCTCTGATATTCGCAAAAGTATATATGTGCCAAATTTGAACAAAAATTTATGGCAAGACATCTGGAAAGCTATTAGTAACTTATTTTTAAAAATAACACTATTATTCTTGGAGTTTTTGTATAACGACCAAATCCACTAGGTTTGATATCAAAGGGAATACAGAAAACAAGTAAGACAGGAATAACAAGATTTTTATTGCTGTTAGCTTATTCAACTTCCCCACCCGTGTTAAGGCACCTGATTTCTAGTTACATTGACGGGTTTCTAAAATTTCTGATCTATAAAGGTTCTGCATACCACTGACACAATCTGCAGGCCCAGGGCTGTTAAAGAAATAATTAAGAATTATTAAGTCTCCACCAGGGATTCAGAAAAACAAGAAAAGACTTTACACACTGACCAAATAATCATCGTCTTTTCAGCTTACCTTTTTTACTCAGGTCAATAGCAGCTTCTAGAAGAACTTCTAATTCCCCTTTCGGCAACACAGGAACAACCCATCGAGGCCTACATTCAAAAACAAAACAAACTCCTCTATATTTCTGCTATGCTTCTTAAAAATCAAGAATCCTTTCCCCTTTGTAATGCTTTTACCACAGGACAAGAGTTTACATTTTCTAAGGTCCTGATAAGCACTCAATTAAAGCAAAAAAAACCAACAAAACCAACCAACTTCTGATTTGAGCTTCTTTCTTTTTACAACTCTAATCCAATAAAACAAAAAAAGTATTTCAAGAAATCCAGTGAAACAAAAGATGCAAGAATCCTGATTCTGCTATCAAGGTATCTGCACAAATACCTACATCCTCTGAAAAAAGTGTGAAAATACCTGTTGATCATGTCATCCAACTTTGCCAGGTCTGTGTGTGGAAATGCAGGCTCCTCATCTTCAAGCTGGGGTGGAGCCTCTCCTTGGCCCTGCTCATCAGGCGGGGTAGCTGGAGAGTTCTCATTGGAAGAATCAGGTGAAGAAGTCTAAAATTGGTAAGGAAAATATTTTAAATATTGTCTGCACCTACTTGCCACTTATTTCGGCATTTTTCCTTCATATTGTGCTTCAAAGAAACACTTCAAGTAAGTACCTGTCATCACAAAACACAGTAAAATAATTTCATTTCCAATTTATTAACAAAAAAACAACAGAACATTATATGTGCTACATGCTTTCCATCTTGACAGTTTAAAAATTACGGTACTTCCCAGTGAGGAAAGTGAGGGGTTTTGTAAGACACTTGCTTTCAGCAGATAACCTTCTAGAAGGTGAAAATAAAGACTGTATGGATGCTTTACTTTTTACAACCTTCTGAAAAGAGATGACTCTTACATAGAAAGACCAACTTCAGTAGCATAAAAGAAACTGATAATGAAAAATATTTTCTAAAAATCTTTTCTAAAAATTAGTAACTTTACTACAGCTGACCACTAACCAATCTCTAAGGTGATTGGTTAAGCTCATTTTGATTGGCCATATAAAAGACAACCCACTGCATAGATGCATGATTATTCTTGTATAGAAATAGTATGTATTGATAATAACAAATATCCAAATCAGAATAGCAAGATTTAAGCGGACAAAGGACAACCAAAATCTCAAGAATGTTTTTCACATGTTGTACCATGTCTGGCTAGCAGAGTTAATTAACTGCCCCAGGTGTGGAAACACAGCCCAGCCCTAACCTTTGACAATTGTATGGTGCTGGGTTTTGGATTTATGACCAAAACAATATTGGTAACACACCACTGTTTTATTTGTTGATGAATTGTGCTTGCACAGATGGAAGGCCTCGTGTTTCTCACTTCAGCCCCCCCACACTAAGCAGGCTGGGGGTGGGCAAGAGGCTGGGAGGGGGGCACAGCCGAGGCAGCTTGACCTCAACTCACCAAAGAGACACTCCATACCATATAGTGTCATGCTTGGCAATGAAACAGGGGGAGTGTTTTTTCCTTCCAAGGTAGCTCTTGCTTGGGGACTATCTGGGCATCTGGTGGTGAGTCACTGTATTTGCATCACTTGTTTCCCCTCCTGCCCCTTCACTAATTAATCCACCTTTATCTCTATCCATACAATTTCACACTTTTTTTTCCCTTTCCAATTCTCTCCCCTATCATAGTGAGGCAGAAAGAATAAGCAACAGAGTGGAGGTTTACCTGGCACCCAGGGTCAGCCCAGCACACGTGTTCCAAAAAACCATTCTCAGGAAGTAACAACCACTAAACCTTACAGTATTCAAAAAATATTGTCTTCACACCAAATTAAATGACAAAGTGTGGCCTTTCTTTTAAATACACTGTTTATAAATGTCTTATCCAGTATTTTTCCCTCTCAACGAAAAAGAATCATTACATGCTGATGAAATATTTGAAAGTAGAACTGTGCATAAACTGAACTCACAGAGCACAGTTTTACTAATCTGTGGCAGGTAAATCTACAACACCGTTCTGAGGAAGCTCCCGATATTATTCCAAACCTTCTTATGCAAAATACCTATGCTTGAAAAATTCTGACACTGCCTGGAAAGGAAGCATCTTTTGCAATGCAATGCTCCCTACCTGTATCTTCTTTGCCAATAGCACTGCCTTCATAGCTCAGAATCTTTTTCTATTTCCAGATACACAAAAATCTTTCTATCTAGCTTAGACACCTGAAGGAATATACAAACTCAAATAGTTCAAAACCACTATTTCTAAAGAACTAATCCCTTTATTTTTAGATAACGTGAGTGTTAGTATCATACCTGATTCTGCTGGAGGGGAGGCTGGGACTGTCCATCAGGAGCCTGGCCCTGGCTATCATTCCCTCCTACCGGAGAGCCACGAGTCGTGGCTGTCATACTCGACACAGGGCAGATCTTTGCAATTTTGTCTGCTTATGTAGTTGTTGAGAGAGAAGAAATTATAGTCCACTTAGTAAAGTTGAAGTACCAGCATATGCTTGACTTAAAAAGCTCCAACTCAAGAACATGCCATCTTGCAGAGACCATTGCATAACCTGGGGGGAAAATAAAAAAAAGACAATATGCTATATTAACACATGCATATAAAAATAATCTGCACATGTAAAAACATTAAAAAACAAACACATTGCTATAAAGAATCTTTTATTTTAAACTTCGTATTTCTTTTTTAGAGTACAACTGACACCAGAAGAATGTAACACTGGAAATATTTAATGGGATTTTAATGTTTAAAAAGTAGAAGTTAGACTGGTAATTATCTCTATACAACTCAGGAAATTGAGGCATAACAAAAATGCATCTGCTTGCTCTGATTCTACTGTGCTTGAATTAATACAGTAGATTTTCAATTAGAATTCAAGGTGCTGCTTGAGACTTAAGTAGAATTGACCTGGTTAAGAGCATGAACTGCAAAATCTGTCATCTTTTCCAATAGTCTTCTTGTGACACTGCCTAACTGCAGATGTATGAGGATGAATTAGAGATTGCCTCTACCTCAGGTAAGCGTAACAGAGACCCTTCTATTAGCACATGAGTATTTACCCAGGGCATTTGACCTGTATTCTCTTCTTTCAGCACATGCCTAAGAAAGCCTGGGTCCACTGGCCTTTCAGGCCCACTGCAAAGCCCAGCCAACATTCCCACAAAGTATTTCAGTAGATTATATGAAGAAAACCCCGGGTTCAGATTTGTTTGTTGATCTTGTAATGATGATATACCAACGGTTCAATAATTTTATGTATTTCAACTTTACTGTATTAAATACAGAAATAAAAGGATGCATTAAGTTAAAACAGCAATTCCACTCTATACCACAGGGAACTAACTGTATAACCACAGAAGACAAAACTTAATTTTCCAGAGTTACTCGGACTTCCAAGCACCACATAAACCAAAAACAGTACTCAAAGTTCAGAAGCCAAATAGGATGGTAGAAAGAATTGTATGAGCTTTCAGCAAGAGTCATCTGGCAGCGCTAAGTTTTTGATTCAATCAGCAAAAGCTTCAAGTTAACAAATTAGAGATTTCTGCTGTAACATTATGCATATCTGTGTTTTATTATGATGTCTCATCTCAAATTAATTTTCAATGATGTTACCTTTCTCCAAGACACTTTTAAATCCTTTCCCAAATAGTGCAAATTTACAAGCCATTATAAATACAATAAAAATTTTAATTGAACACATAATTCCTTCCCTGCCCAGTCTCCAATATTAACAGCACAACAAATTCAGAGTTCTCTAATATTGTGACCAAAATAATGTTCACTTGTATTCAAAACTGTATTCTTTGAATACAGTCAATTGTAATCCGTTCAGGCATTTCAAAATTCATACTCACAGGGCCTAGTAAGCCTGCTAAGTCCAGAACAAAGGCATTACCAAATACATCTGCTTTAGGAAGAAACTGATTTTTTTGTAAAATTCAATTTTAATAATGAACTTATTTTAACTGGTCCTCTTTTTAAAGTGCCCTCCTGAGTATTTGTTTTTTATTGACCTTAAGCAAGTTCATCACTTCTCACCCCTCATTTGTGTGAGGTCCTCAGAGACACAAAAGTACCTTCAAGTTATGCTGCAGCTAAGTAAAACTACTCTAACTCCAAGCTGCACCTCTGAGCCTCACCTCAGCTTCCACAGCCAGCAACCTACCATCTGTGTGGTAGAATAGGTTGTTTTTGTTTGGAGGAGAAAAGAAATTGAGCACCTTTTAAAAACCCATGTAGAAAAATAAAAATCAGACATGGTCTCCTGGTTAAGTGTCAGGTAAGAAGCAAGTATGTACTATTACCCTGTTACAGGATAATATGTAACAGAAAATACAAAGGATAGCATTTTAACATATAATGATCAAGGAATATACGTAACTTTCTAATACAGTTGCTTCCAGAACAGCTTTCATCTGAGATTCTCAAAGTCATCTACTCAAAAGTAACTGAAGTACTGAAATACTACATAGAGCCTTTCTCCTAAATTAACGACTTCATAATACATAGTCTCAGAAAAAAATAAATAAATGCACGGTGACAGATGAAAGTAGCAAACCTTGAATTTATTATTCAAGTGCATTACCTAAGCCCTATCTAGGCACATGAACCTATTTTTCCTTTATTTAACGTTTTCTGGTTATATACAAGTAAAAAGATACATGTCACAAAATCTACTTTGCAGTTGTAACAACATATGCCGGGATACTAGTCTACTCAACATCTAACAACAGAGCTTTCTAAAAACATACACCTACGCCAAGAACAGATAGAATTATTTTTTTCTTCAGCATTATTTATAGAATGGCGTTCCTATCTCTACAGGACCTTACAGAAGATGTGCTTTTTCAGCGTAAGTGCTGTAGTGCAAAAAAGCTTCAGTGTAATACAAATATTAGGTTGAAGGGTATCACAGATTTGTTTCATACACTATTCTAGTAACTGCCTTCTTAAAATCCTAATAAATACTGACTCATCACAAGGGTTACGACACAATTTTAGTCTAAATATTCCAGATTTAGGAATCTAACCCACCTTATTCCTTTATTTCAATCAAAACGCCTTCTCATCTAGAAACACCTCCTCCAATACTGTAACACTGACCTAATTCGGTAGTTACAATCTATACACACCCACACACATTTATCATTTCCTTTCTTCTCTACGCTACGTGTCTTTCAGAGAGGAGGAAATTTTTTTATATAATCAGAATATAAAACTGGTGGTCCCAGCAATCTGCTCACATGCACTAAAATCAAAATGTATTCAATGATTAATGAAAAACTTGTCATGAAGCTACTGTTCAGTGGAGTACGAAGTGTCTAACTTTCAATGTTTAAAAAAATACTTGATAAGCAGCAGTCAAAGAAAAGGTTGTTTTAAATAGCTTATATTAAAAAAATTAATTTGGATTCTCTCTCCTAGTAAAGAAATGAGTGTACATGGGACTTCATCAACTGCATCAGGCTCCCAACACATTATTTCAAAGCAATAAATGTCTAAGCGATGCAGTAAGACACATTTTGAGAAACTACAGTTGAACTAAAACTATTGTCATTGAAAAATAGGTTACTTCAAGTAACCTTTTTCATTTACCTTTCCACATTATATATCTGAAATCAAAACACTCGGCAGCATAAGTTTCTGGAACATTAGGAAGATCCACGCACACATGTGATTCTATTTGACCTCAATATTATATGACAAATAGAGAGAGATGTCTTGAAACATACTTCAGTTCTTTCAGAACTTGTTTTGGGGTTTTTTAACTTCAAAGCTCAGTGTTGTAAGCTAAGTTACATCTACTTAACAGCATGCGACGTCACTTTTTTCAAGATGCTCCTACACCTACCATTCCCATGAATTTAAGCAAGCAGTGAAAGCACAGAAAGTGAATTTCCAGAAGTAAACATCAACACTTAGGTCAGGTCAAGGGCAAAGTGGAGGTACCACAAGTCTCGACTCCATAAAGATGGTCTCAAAGGAGTCATTCAATGCATTCAGATCTTCGAGCACCAGCTACGCAGTATTCTATACTGAAGAGACTACAGAGGGATGCTCCAGAAAATGCTAGTTTTAAGCAATGATGTTTGCTCTTTTCTGAGCAACAAATACAAATATTAACTGTATTACAAGTGTGACAGCCTGATCCTACTGTCTTCTATCCATATTTTGGATCATTGAGGACCTTATGCAGAGGTCTAGCTGAAAATCTGGAGTTCTGAGGACATTCAAAGATTGAAGCGTTAATGTGAATGAGATTTGGGAAAAACAAAGCTCTACAACCTCAAAGAAATGAAAATGTCGTATCTACACCCTCTGCTAAGGAGCTAAAATACTTATATGTGATGTAACTCAGGAACTGAGATAGAGATTTTTTCCTATCACTTAAAAGAAACAATCAAATCCAAAAATCAAACAACTAGACACAGAAAGCTTAATGACAGAAAGAACAACTTATTTTTATTTTTTAATATCACTCTGTTAGAGCAAACCCACATGGACTATTTCATCTTACGAAAACAAAAAATCCAAACAGAAAACTGGGCAATGGTACTGTTTCTCATGTAACTGGACTTGAGACATTAATCAAGAGCAAAATCTGACTACATTGAACTGTTTCAGGTGTAACTGGTAGCTTAAGCTTATGGTTCCTTTTCAGGTCATTAGAAGTAAAGTCTCACCTCAGGCTTCTCTGGCTAAAGCTAACCCCCTTTCATCAAAAGTTTTTTCAGTCTTGATATAAAATCATCATTGAAATTATAAGCTTGAAGCCCAAGAAATTCTAACCAAAGCAAACTATACTCAAGGTAAGGCTGAGAATCCAGTATCTGGCCCTGCATGTAAAGGCAACAAAACTGACATATCTAAAACATATTAACTTCTTGTTTCCACATGTAATAACTTCCAAAAAGACTTCAAAAAACCTAAGGAAATTCTTTGCAGCTCTCAAAGGACTCTCACTTTGGGGCAATAATTAATGAAGGTCAGGCCCTGAAAGAGAAATGGACAGCAGCAACAAGAGTCTTGTAGAGAAATACATTCACCTGCCAACAATTCTCAGGACATTTAACAGTTAGATAGTGAACCACTGGTTGTTTAAGTTGCATGATGCTTCTTCCCAAATAATGTGACAAGGGGTCAGGTCTTCAAAGCACACACTTAGCTCTGGCTACCAAACAGAAAAGTCAATTTCAGTTCCCGTTGTGAAGAAGTTATTTTGGTCATGACTTAGTAAAGAGAAGAATGCCAAAGACACAGCACCAAGAAAGCAAACAGTCAACGCCTCACAGACAAAACCAGTGGAAGTTAAGACAATTAATGGTGCTCCCTTTAGTGAACTGCAGCCTTGCTTTTCTGTAGGCATACGTTTCAGACCACTGTCATGGACAGAGTGCTGAGCAAGACTGGTCCTCTCACCCCGTGCCACCACTCCTTCACTATCAGGAGCTTTCAGAGTGAGTTACACTCATTTAACTGGTATGAAACCATATTCTCAATGATATTCAATATATCTCAATGACAGAAGGAGGGGGGACATAAAATCT